GACTAAGCTTCAAAAGCACCTTACACCTATTGAGGAATGGGACGTGAGAAACGGTTTCAAACTAGACCAGCCGTCACGTACACTCTACAAACTACTTACACCTTTAATGGAAGTCAGCTCCCTAAAGTCTCCTCACAGTGCGATCTCGGTTAAATAACTAAAGAAAGACTCCGCGCAAGTCGGAACTATATAGGGGCTGTAGCCAAAGCAAATGCGACTCTTCTGTTGGATCGAGTGCAGAGACGAGCAAGGATATGGATGATGTTGAGAGACAAAACCCACGAACATAGACTCTAGCATTCGGTCTATTCCCCCTGAAGTAAAAGGAAACCGGGGGTGATTTGACGATGGCGTAGAACATAGTAACCACGCCAAACCATCATAACATGAGCATCTTTCCGATACATCACCACCATTCCCCCCGGTGCGATCCTCGAAAAATGGAGTATCAAAGAGCAAATACTCAGATTCCTGCACAATTTTTATCAAAACGAGTCTCTATTGGTGACCGAGACAAGATTGACTGTGATCACCACTAAATACTAATTACTATCCCGTCACCAATTTTAGAAATAAATCCAGAGTTAAGAATATATTTGAAGGATAAAGTAGGTGTTTCATCGAGCCAGAAGTTATGAAGGATGGACGCAACACGAAAAAAGAACGTTGCGCGCAAGTAAGTGTTTTTAGTACAGTTAAACGAAACTAGCACAATAAAAAATGTTTACTTTTAACCAATTGCGTTTTCATAGTAGAAGTGTCCCACTACAAGTCGCTGCTACCTGGAATGCACTCCCAGCCTAGGGGATCATAGGCAATCAGTGGACAGCTCTAGGAAGAAGCGTGATTCACACGTACTCCTATACGGAGTACAAACTACCTCGTGGAAAGCTGCAACTGACGCATGTCCTGAGATCTGCTAGTCGATTTTATAGGCATCTTCTCAGATCACTTACTTAATCTATCTCGCCTATTATCTCTGCTTCCTCTCCCTTGCTTACACTTCGGTCCTCGAGCACAAACTTCACTAACAATTATTAAACTAAATTATCCATTACTTACTTAGTCCTGCAAATTTATTCGTATTGGCATTATCCTTATTATTCTCTACATTCTCCAAATCTCCGGTCTAGTAATGTGATAGCTGCTGGTATCAAGAAACGTTACTGCACTAAAACGCACATAATCATTCAAATCGTGGGAAATACAAACTCACAAACTGTTGTCAACTGACTAGAAATAGATAGTCGAGTGGCTTGACCCACAACCATTGGAGAATACATATTACCTGAAACCGCACCGAAAGAACAAGAATCGAGAGCTGAGTTCAGTCGGTTAAAAATGCTCGTAACTCCGCCAGTAAAACCTTCGAGGCTGCTGAAGGTCCCAAGCCCGGATAAAGGAGGAAAGTTGGACATGGGGTTGGCGACCCCATTCCGTCAAAAAACTAAATTGCGAAAAAAACGCTAACCAGAAAAAATAATTCAAACTATTTTAACTCTGCCCTGGGAGTTGGAGGAAGAATTATGACGTCTCGTGATGAAAGCCGAGTTCCCTCGGAAGTCACGGGGCCGATGCCTCTTCTGACAACCAGAGAAACCATTTTTTTAGGTACATGGAACGTTCGTACATTGTGGGAGACTGGAAGACTATTTCAAGTTGCGGCAGAAATGAAAAGATACAACCTGGAGGTGCTTGGAATCAGTGAAACGCATTAGACACAAGCAGGACAACTGAGACTGGCTTCAGGGGAACTGCTGTTATACTCTGGTCATGAAGAGGAAAATGCTTCACATACACAAGGAGTTGCACTGATGCTGTCCAAACATGCACAAAAGGCACTAATAGGATGGGAATCTCATGGACCCAGGATCATTAAAGCATCCTTCAAAACAAAGAAACAGGACATTACAATGAACGTCATCCAATGTTACGCACCTACCAATGACTACAATGACGACGTTAAAGATCAATTCTACGAAAGGCTGCAGTCAATCGTCGAGAAATGTTCACCAAACGATTTAACGATTCTTATGGGAGACCTGAATGCCAAGGTTGGCATGGACAACACTGGATATGAAGACATCAAGGGACGACATGGACTGGGAGAAAGAAACGAAAATGGTGAGAGATTTGCAAACCTATGTGCCTTCAACAAACTGGTCATCGGTCGCACAATATTCCCGCACAAACGCATTCACAAAGCCACATGGATTTCACCGGATCACACTACTCAAAACCAAATTGATCATATCTGTATCAACAAAAAGTTCAGAAGGACCATGGAGGATGTGAGAACCAAGAGAGGAGCTGATATAGCTTCAGATCACCACTTGCTGATCGCCAAAATGAAACTGAAACTCAAGAAGCACTGGACAACTGGACAGACGACATCACACAAGTTTAATACGGCCTTTCTTCGGGATACTGTAAAGCTCAACGAATTCAGGATAGCCCTCACCAATAGGTTCCAGGCCTTTCAGGATCTACTCAATGGAGAGGACGCAACATTGGAGAACAATTGGAAAGGGATTAAGGAGGCAATCACTTCAACATGTCAGAAGGTCCTTGGTCGCAAGAAGCACCATCACAAGGAATGGATCTCTGTTGGTACTCATGAAAAAAATTGAAGAAAGGAGAAACAAGGCAGTAATCGATGTCAGCCGAACAAGAGCAGAGAACATTAAGGCTCAAACTGAATACACAGAACCAAACAGGGAAGTGAAGAAGAGCATCAGAGCTGACAAACGAAAATATGTGGAAGATCTAGCGATGACGGCGGAAAAGGCTGCAGGAGAAGGAAACTTGAGACAATTGTACGAGACAACAAAGAAGCTCGCCGGAAACTATCGTAAACCAGAACGACCAGTGAAAAGCAAGGAAGGCAAAGTAATCAGCAACACTGAAGAACAGCGAAATAGGTGGGTAGAGCACTTTCAGGAACTCCTGAATCGACCAGCTCCACTCAACCCACCCAACATCGAAGCAGCATCTACGGACCTCCCAATTAATATTGGCGCACCTACGATTGAGGAGATCAGTATGGCCATCAGACAAATCAGGAGCGGCAAAGCAGCAGGACCAGACATCATTCCAGCAGAGGTAATGAAATCAGATGTAGAAGCAACTGCGAAAATATTTCACATCCTCTTCAAGAAGATTTGGGATGAGGAACAAGTACCATCAGATTGGAAAGAAGGATACCTGATCAAAATACCAAAGAAAGGCGATCTCAGCAAGTGTGAGAACTACAGAGGCATCACTCTTCTTTCAATACCAGGCAAAGTCTTCAACAGGGTATTGTTAAACAGAATGAAGAACTTCGTAGACGACCAACTTCGAGATCAACAGGCCGGATTTCGTAAGGATCGATCGTGTACTGACCAAATTGCTACATTACGGATCATTGTGGAACAATCAATTGAATGGAACTCACCACTCTACATCAACTTCATCGACTACGAGAAGGCATTCGATAGCGTGGATAGGAAAACACTGTGGAGGCTTCTTCGACACTACGGGGTGCCTGAGAAAATAGTCAACATCATACGGAATTCTTATGACGGATTCAACTGCAAAATCGTACACGAAGGATAGCTAACAGACTCTTTCGAGGTGAAGACCGGTGTCAGTCAAGGTAGTTTACTCTCACTCTTCCTCTTTCTCCTGGTCATCGACTGGATTATGAAGACGTCGACATCTGGAGTGAAGCACGGTATCAACTGGACAGTTAGGACGCAGCTGGACGATCTGGACTTCGCAGATGACCTGGCTCTTCTATCGCACACGCAACAACAAATGCAAGAGAAGACGACCAGTGTAGCAGCAACAGCCTCTGCAGCACCAAGTCTCAACATACATAAAGGAAAAAGCGAAATTCTCCGATGCAACACAACAGGCACCAACCAAATCACTCTTGATGGAGATGCCTTGGAGGAAGTTAACACGTTTACATATCTGGGCAGCATCGTCGACAACCAAGGTGGATCCGATGCAGATGTGAGGGCACGGATTGACAAAGCAAGGGCCGAATTTCTACAGTTGAAAAATATCTGGAACTCCAAACAACTTTCAACCAAAATCAAAATCAGGATTTTCAATACAAATGTGAAGACAGTTCTACTGTATGGAGCGGAAACATGGAGAACTACCAAAGCCATCATCCAGAAGATACAAGTGTTTATTAACAGTTGTCTACGCAAAATACTTCGTATTCGTTGGCCAGACACCATCAACAAGAACGAACTGTGGGAGAGAACGAACCAGATTCCAGTGGATGAGGAAATCAGGAAGAAGCGGTGGAAGTGGATAGGACACACATTGCGGAAAGCACCTAACTGCGTCACGAGACAAGTCCTCACATGGAACCCTGAAGGCAAAAGGAAAAGAGGAATGCCAAGGAACACATTACGCCGAGAAATAGAGAAAGATATGAGAGGAATGAACAAACATTGGACAGAACTGGAGAGAGAAGCCCAGGACAGAGTTGGTTGGAGAAAACTTGTGGGCGGCCTATGCTCCATTGGGGGTAACAGGCGTAAGTAAGTAATTAAGTAAGTAATAAAAGCTCGTGAATAAGAAATTTGATATTGGATTTTAATTTGTGCTGTCTGCTCCGAGAAAACGTAAGTCTAGAAATAATGGTAAAATGCAGAAGTATTTGCACCTACAATTTTTCAAATTACCTGTATAGGGAGACACCAAAGTTCCGGAATTGTGACGAAACACCAAGAAAACAGCCCTTGATGATAATCTGGTTCCTACTAGTTCACACATATATTGAATATATAAGAAATAAAGTAAATTATAACAAAGAAATTTAAGAACTTACTTCTTAGTGAATCGAATAAGGATCAACTGTTGATTCCTTTACAATTTGCGAGTTATAATATTTTACATATTGAACGGAAGGATTCTGTTGAAAGTGTTTAAATGCATAAATACTGAATTTTGTAAACAGTATATTTTCGATTGGGTTACTTAGTTAATGCGAACGAACAATGAGAGATATTTTGGTGACGTGTCTCTTCTTGTACAAAGTTTTAACAACAGGTATTGTAGTAATGCCGATTTAAAGTCTTCTAGCTACCTATGAAACTTCGTTTTCGGAGGAATATTCTTGTGAAAATACAATATGTAATCCACGGGCTGGTGACTTGCTCATTGGCCGAGAGAGTTCACTTATAGCATCTTCAACTTGTGGCCTGACTGAAGTAGAAGCTTACTGCGTTGTAACGACTAGCCGCAAAAGTTATTGTAAAGAATGTACCTCTAAACAACCCTACAACTCCATAACTAATCCTGAAAGTCATCGTGTGGAAAATGTAGTTTCGCGAGTCCCAAGCAACCCCGGAAGATGGTATGTCAGTCGTTTTATTTCATTTATGTATATATTTTTGCGCCCTCCACATGCTGTATAAATAAGATGCGAATATCACAATGAAAACGAAGAGATTTCCTACTAAATTTAATATCCAATTGCTAGTATGAACAGTTTGATTTCTTTGCTCCCGATTATCATTCTTTCGATGCGGTTCCAGGTACTTGGTAGTGTCCAACAAATGTGGGTCAAGTCACTCGACTGTCAAATTCTAGTCAGTTGTTACTCATTTGTATGTCCCATTATATGAATGCATATGTTTGGTGCGAAACGTTTTATTCGTAATGTGGTTTCCAAGGCAAGATAGGGATGGGTCCGTGAAGCCTATTTCCGCAACCTCCGCAATCGGGAGTGCGTGAAGTATTGTGTCGAAGGCTTTTGCAAAGTCGAGAAATATTATGCGCACTGGTTCTTTTCGGTTCCAGTAGGATCTCCAACTGTCCCATGATATGAGAAGATTGCATGCGCTCGATCTGCCTTTCTGAAACTCGTGTTGAGCTATATGGAGGACTTTGTTCTTATTCATTTACTCCTTCATCTGCTCGTTCACTAGTCCCCCCACTATCACCTTATATAGTATTGGTATCAATGCGACTGGTCTGAAATCAGCTGGGTCCTTCCTATCTACTCTTTTGAAGGTTGAAGATAGATAGTATCATGTTTCCATTCAGTTGGGAGTTGGTGTGACTCTAGCGAATGCCCGAACAGGTCATACATCGGTGAACTGAGAGCTTCTGCACACTGTTTCAAGACTATAGAGTCAATATTGTCTCATATTGGTGACTTACCTGGGCGTAGGGATTTCGGATATTACCTAAGCCGTTAGCTGGCACTATTTTTGAGTAGTACTGTGAACATATAGATATTTAATTGACTGGTAGAGTTGGTGTTGAAGATCCTAGCCACTTCTAGGTTGGTAAGATTTCCGCCATTTGCACCTTTGAGGGCAAAAATACCCCGGTTTTTAGGTTTTCTTTTTTTCATGAACCTAAACAGATGCTTAGGTTTTGCTTGTATTTGGACAGCTAGCTTCATCTGAAAGCATCTCCTATCACTTTGAACTTGGGCATTGCATCTATTTCCCAATTCCAAGTATTAACTACGGTCGGAATCCCTCAGAGAGACGTTCCACTCGTACCAGGAGTTCAGTGCCGCTTGTTGCTGCCGTTTGTTGAGAAACAGTACCGAGCAATCAAGAAACTACTAATACCTACCAGTGTGTAATTGTGACAAGTAAAACTGACTTGATTACGACGAAAAAGAGTGTTTCTTTGAGAGACTAGTCAAAAACTCTGTACTAATATACAGTTTAGCAGAAACGGATGCTGATCTAAATAGTCGTACGGTGCCTAAGAGCACAAACCAGGCAGAAGTGTTGCGTCTATAGTTTGATGAATGCATAAACATTGTAGCGCGGTTCACCAATTAAGTAAGTTGCTGCAGATATGTAAAGGAAGTTTGGCCGAGGTTGCCGTTTAAAAAATGGAGAACAACGATTGCTGGGCATATATGCGGTGAATGAACTTCCAGCGCATATCGAGAACATCATTCGCTACTATCATGTACATGACTCCTAAACTTCCATCTATGATAGCGTTGCTAACCGCTGCCAGCGTTGAGGTAGTTGATAAAATCCTACTACCAAAGTTCACTCTATTGTTTGGACTGATGGTTCTAGTGCATGGGCGTGTCTCCTTATCGCTAATTTACTTAACAGATTTCAAGATGCTTTCGGTACGAATGAAGATTGTGCTCGAGGACCGAAGTGTAAGCAAGAGAGAGGAAAAAGAGATAATAGGCGAGACAGATTAAGTTAGTGATCTGAGAAGATGGCAATAATATCGACTAGCATGTCTCAAGTCTATTTGTGTCGAAACAACACCAACATGATTTTTGCACCTCAGATAATTGGGTGCCATGTAGTCGTCGGGCCTTGAAATGGCTGCTAATATATACAGCCTCTCTGCCGCCTGTCTGATGTACCCTATCTCCTCAGAAGAGTGTCTAGCCTTTCCAGCTCACTGGTTCATTGAGAGCACATATTCCTGGTTTCTAACAGCTTGCCCCTTAGTCCTCTCACGCCACTGTAGCGGCACTTGATGGTTTGTCTCATTAGCTGTTGCACCTCTGCAGCAACAGCCGTTGTCGGATTTTCAGACAAGTTTTTCAAGCCGAGTTAGCCAGTTCTGTGCAAACTGGCCTCTGTAGGTGTTTTTGCTAGTGTTATGCATTCAATCGGTGATACAATGATCTACGTATCTTGTGCTGTAGGTTGTTGATCGGGATCAATTGTCATTCGTGTGCGCTTATTTTGGCCTTCCTGTTGTTGTCTCACAAACCTAGGTCGATTCGTGTAGTACTTAATGTGACTAGAGGGATAATTCTTCAAGCTATATCAAGCGTGAGAAGCCTTGCTGACTTCTGAAGTCCACAAACATCACACATGGAACCTAATAGTCGTGATGTGTGATGGACGAGGCAGCCGAAGAATGCTAGTCACCTTGGTGGTGTGAAGGCCCCTACTACGTGATAGTTACAGCCACTGTCGCATGTCATACGCGTAAGCTTCATTCAAGCTACCATTAACCAGTTCAGGCTCGCCGTGAACTACCATAGTGGTCTGCTCTTGGGCGCCTTGTGATGTCCTAGCTGTTGCTCGTACTGACCACGGTTTGTTGTGCTGAGTCTAGGATTACCCTCAATGAAAGGGGTTTCTCTTTTGAGAATTTCTGACCTTTTGGAAAACTACATATTTTGGCCGGCGTACGGCTCGTTCCAAGGATTGCGCAGTACTTGTCCCAAATCACTAATTTCATTGAAGTTCATTTGGGACCACAGTAATCAAATAATCCTAGAACAATCTAGAAAAGGCCTTAGTACATGCAAAAAAAAATATATCTACAGACTCAAATTCCATTTGATACGAGATAATGATCTCCTGGTAGGTCTGAACTAAAAAGTCCTTAGCCAGATATCCAGATAAGTAGTTCTATCATTTTATGACCTAATCTGAAAGTTCGTAGTTAGGAGATCAGACATGAGAATTCGAATGTTTTCTTTATACATGTAAGTCTACTGTTCAAGACATTAAAAATCATGACTTACTTACTTACGTCTGTTACCACGAATGGGGCACAAGACACCGACCATTTCTGGCTAGATTTTTTGGCGAGTTGGCCTTCTACAGGACGAGGTCGCTAACTCCATGCCTAGCTCTCTTTCTTTGTCCGTACCTGAGACCGGTAGTAACCCCAAAAGGGCTCCATGTGGAGCTAAAATCACTTTATTACATAATCTGAGAAGCGCTATTAGGTAGCCTACAATCCTCCCGCATGGTAATGGAAGCAATGTTAATTAACGGTTTCATAATATGGTAACTAAGATTTCAGAAGATAACCTATTTTCAATTCTTCGGAATTTTTAATCACCCTGCTTCAATTTTTAGTGTATAATAAGCTGCTTATATATAACACCCAATTTTTAGTGAAATAACTCATGCGCAAAAAGTCTAAAATTTCCAAACACAGCTAGTTAAACTCTTTGAATATTTTCCAGGTTTTAAAACATTTAGAAACTGACGGTTTTTAAATAATGACAGACGATCTTTAGACCACCTCGTCTAGACACACGGGTAACCCGAAAGTATGTAACATATATATCTTGATTATAAGTTCTCATCGTGATGAGCGTTAAAACAAAACTGGCATTAGCTGAATGCTTGATGATTTAGAAAACTCATTCAGATCCCCCTTCTAATCTGTACGCAGTCAGTAAAGGGATGGGAGACTGGAAGGTGTGCGATAAAGAAGAAACCTACCTAACGTTATTTTTAGCTAGACAGACATCATTATTTCAAGTGTATACTTTGGAATCAGAGTTAGCCACATTATTTTTCCTGATGTTTAATGACCGGCTTTGGGATGAATGTAGGTTTAAGCATACAATAAAGTGTTTTGAAGTCAAATTTGCGAATCCGCCTACTAGCTTAGAAATTATTTCGTCCAATACCATTGACTTCTTTTTACGTAAAGTCTGTTTTGTAATTCAAGCGCGTCTGGTTCCTAAGTGGTCACTGTACTCAGACTGCAGTCAAAACCGGAAATTTTTCCTTTTCATCAAATACTCAGAAAATGCACTGACTTTTACGGCTGTCATTCACCAATACCCGGGGAAAATAAACAACTTTTTATGTCGAAGCTCATTTCCTTAATTGTAGTTGGGACTAACTTGTCTTTGATTGTCGGTATCAAACTGTTACCTATGTCTTGGTGTTTTGCTTTTCGTTAACTCTCCAGTCTTTTTTCGACTGGGAACCACAATAGTATCACTAAACGGTGTCTTTTTCAGTCAGAAGTTGACCCAGCCTTCTCATTACAACCGTTAGGTACCAAAGAGTGCTCCCAAAGGTACTAAACACCAACTACTCTTATTTGCAGCTCTGTTTTGGCAGGAACTTTACAGGTTTTTTCGTTTTATCATCTACTCAGATAGACTAGACAACGTTTTACCTCAATGAAATAAACATATGTCAGTTTGTTTCCTGAAGGAATAAGTGTTGTCTCAGTCTTCTTCGTTTTTGCAAAAATATCATTTTCTTTATTAGCTTTCATTTAAATAAATATTTGTCCTGAAACCGAACTGAAACAGTATTGTTGGTGGATTCACATAAGTTGGGACTTACTGAACTTTATCAATATGCCAATATATGATTTCTGGGAAACTTTACTGGACTGACCTTTACTTTTGTCAGACAATAAGCCTATTTTCACAAGATACCAACAATTAAGCTGTTAGCTGTTACTCGTCACAACTTACGTCACCATCTTTTGAATATTGTCAGGATATACCTTGAAAGTATACAGAATACTTCGTTCCATAACAATAGAGATGGAGAAGGAAGTGAATAATGAGTTGGATTACAGTTATCTGTTGAGCAAAGTGTAACAAATCAACCGAAAAGTGGTTGTTCTCTCTAATTAAGTAGAGACAAAACTACTTAGAGAAACTTTTGATGCATTTTCTTCGATACCTTAACTGAACTTAGTTTGATTAAATCAAAAATAGTCAACCTCTGTAAGTTTAGACTACTGGCACTAAAAAAAGGATTACTAAACAGGGAAAAGTTTTTACCTATTGTGATCTATCGGATTTCGAATGTTGAGGCAGGTATGAAACAGAATGAATAAATTTATTTGTCGTCTTAACACTCACAAATGAATTCTGTACAATTGCAGTATGTTTAATATCTATGCCACTTGAATATTATTTTCGAATTTGTAAGACAAAATATATTGAAGGAATTTCGGAGGGAATGATGAGGGAATGATTAACAAGAAACTATGAATATATTATACCATACTAAATTGCTGTACTAATCATTATAAGGGGCTGGCGGGTGATTGGATACTTACTAAATAATTGCTTTACTCCCAAGATTATCAGCTGTCCAAGTATTTTTCTTGACAAAGCAAGATCAGCGTTAATATAATTTGGAGGAATATGTCTAAAACTCGTTGAGTAAAATCTTTTAGTTAATGCAAAGTGTATATTTATATTTTTCAACCACCCTCTTTAAATGTGATTTTTAGTTGCTACGTTTCTCTTAAGTAGCAAAACGAATTAGTGTGTGCTAAATTTTTTATTTCTGTCACCTAAATAAATACACTATTTATTTACAACTCTCAGTAATCAAATTATTCAGGAAATATAACCATGTTTCATGATCACCTTCAAACAACAAAAGTAACCCACTAGAATATTGTTAAAAAAATTGAGGCATTTTGATGAGGAAGGATCTCTTTAAAATTATATAGCCTACAAACCATGTACAAACGCATTTATATTTACTTAAAAATATATACGATTGCTGTGAACAGTATGGATAATTTATTGTTTAAACACACTGAATGCAAGCGCTTCCAAATATCACGATAAAATTATGTAATAGTCAAAGGGTTTTACGACATAAAAATTGAAAATTGATTACTGATAGAAGGTAATTGTTCATATAAAAAATATTTGAATAACGTAAACAAATTAGGAATAAGAGTTAATTATTTTCACATTTAGGAAGGAGTGATAATAATAAATGTTTTCTAATACTAATCTCAAAAACGGCGGTAAAGTGAAAACTTAGACATGTTGTTTCTAAATTAAGACGTTTGAAATAATGATTTGCCAAGAATATTACTGTCAATAGTTTTATGATTCTTCACACTTTTAAGCTTCATCTTTCGACCTCGTTGATTATTTTAAAAGCTACTTCTAAGGCACAACATATTTGAAGATGACACTATTGGCCATTTTATGTCCACTTACAAAACTATGATGTATGATTGTACGTCATCAAAGTTTATTTAATTATAAATCTTAAACACAATTTTGCTGCTATTTATACCACACATTTTTGTCTTTTTCTACAAGTTTCTTTAAACTTCTCTAAGGTGATTGGTACGTAATTGCAGTGGACCCATTAAATCCACATTAAATCAACTATCTGAAAATTTACTTTTAAAAGATTACGCCTTAAAATTTATCAGAATAGGACAGCAGATAGATAGGTAAAATCAGTATTTCTTTTATTCATGGGCAGATTCCAAACTACAGCTGCAATCGCTGTACAAAGTGTTTACATAGTTTTCTCAGTAACTGATAGACTGAGTCTCAAACTGCTAGCTCAGGGGTTCAACGGCTAGTTGCTCGTCTCTAAAACGAAGGTTCTAGGTTTGATAGTTGGTAAGACAATGAATACACACTGCTGAAGAGTCATATACTAGGACGAAATAGCTATGGCCTGTAGTGTCTGGCTTGAATTATTTGTCTAACTATGATCAGTTCGTGACACCAACAATGAAAATTGAATAATCTCCGTGTACCTCTTAGACTGATCACATGATTCTTTGGATTTCGCAATGTATTTTTTGAAATGTTGAATTGGTGAGCCTTTACAATATAAACTGTTAATATAGACGTAAAAGTTGTTGATACTATGTAACTTCTTTCCATTATGACAATAGTGCGTCAAATCTGTTTTTATTCTATTTCTGAAAGAATTTGATTTCTTAAAGTTTCTTTTTCTTAACAACAGACGAATTAATTTTTCTAATTATTTTCCATACCTGTATGTTCTGTCTATTAAAAAAGCTTTACAATAATTTTAGGTGGCAGTCACAAAATGCAGTACACAATGTTTCGATTGTACTTAATTTGGATACTCAATTTCAATTTATTTCAACGATTCTACGTTTTAAAACTTATCGTCCAGCGGCTATGTACTTAGAACGTTCCTATGATTTTGGTCGTTCATGGGCACGTTATGCTTATTTTTCAAATAACTGCAAACGAGATTTTCCAGCTGTACCAGAAGGTCCTCGCAGATCATTAACTGATGTAACTTGTACTGGAGTTTACAGTCAACTTACACCTTCTGAAGGAGGTGTGGTATGTTTCTCCTTATTTTTTGTATACACGCTTTGTTTGTAAAAATCTCATTACTGACAAAAATTAGTGGGTATTTGTGGCAAAATGAGATGAAAAATATCCAGAAAAATTGGCTATAATATCGCGTTTCAGATCCGATTTTTACAGCTTTTTTGTTAAGATATTGTAGGCGCAAATAGTCTACCACAAAGAAATAGAATTAAACTTTTCCTCATACGTAACTTACGCGATATCACCGAAGCAAATATTATAAAACCTTTCCTATATAAACATTACCAGGAAATGCCTTAAGATTGAAGGTTTTCAGATTTAACTACCATACTGCATTATAAAATTACTAAAAAGATCATTCTAATCAATTCGAGAACGTATTATCTAGTTGACTCAATTCTCGTCAGATGTTTGTATGTTTTTGGAACATCCAGTTAACAGTCATGAGATTAAATGTAGAGTACTGTGTAAGTGTGGCAAATCCTTTGAAGTGGTAGTGGATGTTTATCGACTGAAATGGATAGGACATGTATTACGCCAAAATGTGAATTATGTTGACATGCGATGATGCTCTACTCAGAAGTAAGTTAGAAGAAATATATGGGTGGCCAAACCAAGAAATAGCATCAGCCCATGAAAACACTAACTGTTTGACTGAACCTTGTGGGTCAGTACAGACTGGTTGAGGTAAGCGTGATAATCGTAACCAGTGGTTACAAATTTTGGGTCATATGGTTTACAATCCTTCGCAGTGGTACAGTCACATCAACCATTTGTCTCCTTTTAGATCCTGAGTTTCTAAATTCCTTATAAAAAATTCACTTTACTGATTTATATTTTCTGGAGCTATACCTTGAATGCCTAATCCTTTCTATTCGCATCATTACTGTCGCTATCTCTTACCCTGACAAATTCATCTCACTGTACTAAAGACGTTTGGCAACTTGAAATTATACACACTTCTACCTATGATATAATCGCAATAATCTCAATGAAATAAAATGACATATTGAAAACTGATTTGTTTGTGATTGGCAAACAATTATCATTGTGCACATACAAGATATAGATTACAAATAGTATACACGAATACATATTAAGCGAAGAAAAAAATTATTTCGAAAATAAACTTCACTGATAGAATTTAAATCATTTCAACGTTTTGATTTTCAGAATAGGACTGAACAATTCTGATGGATTTCACATCTAAGTCACAATAAAAAAGCATGACCTATGCATTAATACTGTGGTATATTGAACTGGAAATTAAACGTTTATCCGAAATCTCAAAGTGCATAGTTTATGACCTCTTAATGTTGCAGAAAAAAGATGTGTAAAGTATGAACAGACAAACGTATACAATAATCTTTAATGCAATAAGCTGTCTTTTTTAGGAAAGGTTTATTGGAATATAGTTCTTATTAGTAAAGAGGAATTCAACACTGAAACAGAACTCAGCTGACTAGTACTCAATGATTTTTTAGCATTTACAGCAACTATCAGTTAGGGATGAAATTAATGAATTTTCCATGACTAACTATCGGTGACCAAAATACTTAACACATTAATAATGATTGTTTTGTAAAACAAATTAGTTTTCTATTTTTAAGAGACATTTTGAATGAATGATAACTTAGGTTACTTTGAAATGTATAGCAGTTATAGTCAGCTTCATATTGTCGTATTTAAAAGGTATAATCATATATATTTTATGACACTGGTATGATTGAGTTTTTCAAAGTTTTATTTGAAATTAACAAAATAACCAACATATTTGATGGTGCTAATAACTGTCGAAGTTGAATATTCTTTTGCGACCGTTATCGTGTGTATATGTACATATATTAGGTTGCGTATATGGCTGCTCCAAGTGAAATGCATCAATCATGGCCTCAATACAGTAAAGAACGTATGAATTTAACAGCAATTACTAATCTAAGAGCTGTTTTTACCAGGATTAATACCTTAGGTAAGTAAAACAAGATTTAATTTTTTAAATGAACTAATTTATTATTTACCGTCATTTTGTAAATTTCGGTCGCAGATTGAACACTAATCTCAAAGTCATAGATTTTGGTAATTTTAATTTTGCGTTGTTTACAGTAGATGAGAATAATGAAATAAGATGAATTTATTCTGCAAACCTTATTGTTCTTCTGTTTAAATTTCATCAAAGTTGAGTTCAAAGATGTCTACACTGAACACGTGATTCTACGTTATCTTCAGCCAAAATAGTATACTGACGTCAAAAAATATGTAGGTGAAAAATATTTCTAGAAATAATGCTCAAACTGAACACAGTACATCTAGGTATGTATCAATAGTGATTTATATCAACTTCGAAATGGGCAACTTTAACAGTTAATCGATTTTCGGAAAAAAAAAACCCGGTAAATAATGACGAAAGTGATATGCAAAATGGTTGAAAACTGAAAGATGATCTCATTTGTAAAACACTTAGATATGAACGAGTAATCCATATCGAAATTCCCCGAGAATAAAAGACGTGATCATCAATTCTCTGCGGAATAACGATACGGTTATGATCGATTAGTAAATGGCTTACTTCCGATTTAATCGACTATAAAGCTTACCAAACCTAAAAAACCTTTAAAATATCCGTATATTTTTATGGTACAAATCTTATCGTGTTACCTGAGGGTTCTGGTTTAATTCAAAACACCTAATTAGTACTCATCAGTTTCCATGGATCATCATTTTGTGACAGAAAGCTTCTAAACTATTCTGATTTTAACAAAATATTTAATCGACAGTGTTCTCTTTTACATTCGCCGTGTTTTTGATTGTTCATTTTCAGTTCAAATTCTGTTGTTCAGTGTCTCTTCTAGGCTCCATCATTCATCTTTAACAATGATACTGACATTTATAGACCAAATAATCTCGAATTACTGGAAATGTGCTATCTGTATTTGCAGAATCAAAATTAAAGAAAGATTCTAATTAGTATTTTAACAATCCTTGGGTTACATATGACCGAATTCAGTCCAAAATACATCTCTTTTAAGGCATAGTAAAATATTATACTTATAAATTTTGTTTATATAAATATATATCAGCGCGGTTCACGGTCAGTCAGTTCAGCAGACTATGTTCTTTACCTCGTATTCAGTGAAAACACGAAAATGGTGTATAACGATACTAACTTTCAGTTAGTGTTTCCGGTCTAATTCAAATAATATGATGTTCTCACAGAGTAATGTGTAATTATTTATTTATATGTACCGGTGATTTTGGTATATATATATATATATATATATATATATATATATATATATAACTAAACAGTATGATCATTATATGAATGTTATGCCAATGTTTTGTTTAGATGAATTAAATGTTTTGTTATTTGGATGTAATTAAATGTTTTCATATTGAATCATAAAAATGGGCTTGACTTATACATTATACGTATATATATATATATATATATATATATATATATATATATGTATACATATATATATGTATATGTATGTGTATATACATACATATGTTCTTATTACATCATAACAAACCTCATTTTGTAATTGAAAGTTTTTAGTTTTTATTAATGTAAACTGGCATAATAGTATATTGATTGAATTGTTCAACAACTTTCTATTCAAATGAGTTTATTAGGGTTATAACCATAGAATATGTATAACAATGTGCCGTAAATGTAGGTCTCTATTAAGATACAAACTTAGCATAATTAGATATACTAAGACAAATTTTAAGTAAACGTGTAATATTTTAGGACATTACGAGAATGTCACAAATGTGACTGATAAAATCCCTGCACTGTAACAAATCTTGGAAACAAGTAATTATTTTTCAAGTAGTCAAGTGTATAATTTATGTAAGCTTTATGGTATTATGTTATTAAGGAAGCCTATTATTAACTATGTTGTTTCTGATAGGGAAAAGAATATTTATACAAATCGTCTACAGCATTTAGTCTAACAGTGAATACCGAGTTAATATAGTCAAGTAACAAATGATAGTGATGTTCACTAGATTACTGTTCATTAAAAATGAACAAAGGTTACTATTTTTTAGTAGTGAGTAACAAAATGTACCTCTTCAAGGTTTGATGAGAATTTTGCTGATAAAAGTTGTAAAACCTTGAAACTGGGTACAGTTTTATTTATTATATGCCTGATGTAAATGAATACATTCGTAATTGATCTGAAAAATGTGATGTATTTTCGCCATACATTTCGAACAATCTGGTCACACATATTTATTTGTCAAGGCATTTTATATGAAAATTAATAAAAGGTCAATTAAATAAAAGTTCAAATAGACATGGGGTGATAAAGGAGAGAGAAAATAACGTAATATAAAAAGAGTAAGAAAGGGTAGGAAAATTGTCATATTACCCTAGGCTCAAATTACCAGGGTAAATTCAAGGTTATGACAAATGGTTTTAATTTCCGAATAGCCAAGGCCTCTATAAACCTCAAAATTCGTCCTTCAACATTTTTATACAATGTTTTGATGGCTATCTTGATGTCGAGTTTATGCCCTGTCTGAATTATGTGTTTTGCGATCGATGAACATGGTTTTCTATTTCCCACGCTAATCGGCTCATCTGACGTTAACTGATTTTGAAGCCACTTAGGTACATGTTCCAGATTGTTCGAAATGTATAGCGCAAATACATCACATTTTTCAGATCAATTACGTCTTCTCACTGTTCTATCAAAATTTATAAAAGAGACCAATTGTTTTGAATACATTCGTGTTCGAAATTTGGTGAATAAGCAATTCAAGTATCAAAAAGCCTTTTGTAAATGATATTGATTCAACAATTTTATTTTCATACATCAAATAAACAGGAAGTAACGTTCACCTTTTACCAGAATATGTTTGTCCATGGTTGTACCAGTACTTTTCCAGTTTTTTTTTCTACCAGTACACAAACAACAATGTTTTGAAAAACATTCTCGTTAACCTGTCATTCGTGAAGTCGTTCAGACCATAAGTGAAATTAATACCGATGACTTTAAAGAACAACAGTTTGATATCAGAACAGGATGACTCAATGGTTATAAATCTTTTCTAATTTCGAGATGAATTTTACTAACTTATTTAGGATAAGAACAAAACAGGTTATCGATACTGATTTTTTTCAGAGGTTTTCTCCATGATTTCTATTTGTGATGTTGCCCATACTTAAAACAATTTTATTTGCTAAAATGAAAAATCTAAAATTCCGCATGCTCATTGAAATTTTCTTTCATTTAACCAAATCGAAATCGCAGCTTCATCAATTCACTTAACCAGAGTTCATATAAATGAAAGATTTGGATTTCATTTGCAAACGAAGACTTTATTTGATGAAAAAATTAATGTTACAATAAAATTTAAAACACTATTGACCTTTTCTGCTGATAACAAAAATGAATGAATTAAAATTTGATTAGGAGTGGTTATAATTCGCTTTTAACTAATATCAACATCTCATCGGATTGAGGTCCAACTTATACCAGAAGCACTAAATTTCTTAATGCGTATGGATCTGTTTTGCCTAAAAATGATAAACAACGTAAAACACATGACCAGGTCTGCTAACTGTTCCAAACTATGCGTGAGCAATGCTAGGATTAGAATCAAGATGTTGTACAAAAATAACTGATCGGCTGTTCAGGTAGTGGACTTGATACATGGTTCTGTTATAATGTTGTTGTGTAGTAATTCGAAATCCTACCTATTGACCAAATTCAGATATTCCACTTCGAATACAGAAGGAATGAATGAAATAATAAGCTTTACAGATAATGCATATTTATTTAGTTAAGTCGAGTAGGAAACAGTATTGAAGTCTGTGACATTGATAGTTAGGACGACCAGCAGGAAACAATATTTGAAGTGACATTGATAGTTACTTACTTACTTACTTACTTACTTACGCCTGTTACCCCCAATGGAGCATAGGCCGCCCACAAGTTTTCTCCAACCAACTCTGTCCTGGGCTTCTCTCTCCAGTTCTGTCCAATGTTTGTTCATTCCTCTCATATCTTTCTCTATTTCTCGGCGTAATGTGTTCCTTGGCATTCCTCTTTTCCTTTTGCCTTCAGGGTTCCATGTGAGGACTTGTCTCGTGACGCAGTTAGGTGCTTTCCGCAATGTGTGTCCTATCCACTTCCACCGCTTCTTCCTGATTTCCTCATCCACTGGAATCTGGTTTGTTCTCTCCCACAGTTCGTTCTTGTTGATGGTGTCTGGCCAACGAATACGAAGTATTTTGCGTAGACAACTGTTAATAAACACTTGTATCTTCTGGATGATGGCTTTGGTAGTTCTCCATGTTTCCGCTCCATACAGTAGAACTGTCTTCACATTTGTATTGAAAATCCTGATTTTGGTTTTGTTTGCAAGTTGTTTGGAGTTCCAGATATTTTTCAACTGTAGAAATTCGGCCCTTGCTTTGTCAATCCGTGCCCTCACATCTGCATCGGATCCACCTTGGTTGTCGACGATGCTGCCCAGATATGTAAACGTGTTAACGTCCTCCAAGGCATCTCCATCAAGAGTGATTTGGTTGGTGCCTGTTGTGTTGCATCGGAGAATTTCGCTTTTTCCTTTATGTATGTTGAGACTTGGTGCTGCAGAGGCTGTTGCTGCTACACTGGTCGTCTTCTCTTGCATTTGTTGTTGCGTGTGCGATAGAAGAGCCAGGTCATCTGCGAAGTCCAGATCGTCCAGCTGCGTCCTAGCTGTCCGTCCACTGAATACCGTGCTTCCCTCCAGATGTCGACGTCTTCATAATCCAGTCGATGACCAGGAGAAAGAGGAAGAGTGAGAGTAAACTACCTTGACTGACACCGGTCTTCACCTCGAAAGAGTCTGTTAGCTATCCTTCGTGTACGATTTTGCAGTTGAATCCATCATAAGAATTCCGTATGATGTTGACTATTTTCTCAGGCACCCCGTAGTGTCGAAGAAGCCTCCACAGTGTTTTCCTATCCACGCTATCGAATGCCTTCTCGTAGTCGATGAAGTTGATGTAGAGTGGTGAGTTCCATTCAATTGATTGTTCCACAATGATCCGTAATGTAGCGATTCGGTCAGTACACGATCGATCCTTACGAAATCCGGCCTGTTGATCTCGAAGTTGGGCGTCTACGAAGTTCTTCATTCTGTTTAACAATACCCTGTTGAAGACTTTGCCTGGTATTGAAAGAAGAGTGATGCCTCTGTAGTTCTCACACTTGCTGAGATCGCCTTTCTTTGGTATTTTGATCAGGTATCCTTCTTTCCAATCTGATGGTACTTGTTCCTCATCCCAAATCTTCTTGAAGAGGATGTGAAATATTTTCGCAGTTGCTTCTACATCTGCTTTCATTGCCTCTGCTGGAATGTTGTCTGGTCCTGCTGCTTTGCTGCTCTTGATTTGTCTGATGGCCATACTGATCTCCTCAATCGTAGGTGCGCCAATATTAATTGGGAGGTCCGTAGATGCTGCTTCGATGTTGGGTGGGTTGAGTGGAGCTGGTCGATTCAGGAGTTCCTGAAAGTGCTCTACCCACCTATTTCGCTGTTCTTCAGTGTTGCTGATTACTTTGCCTTCCTTGCTTTTCACTGGTCGTTCTGGTTTACGATAGTTTCCGGCGAGCTTCTTTGTTGTCTCGTACAATTGTCTCAAGTTTCCTTCTCCTGCAGCCTTTTCCGCCGTCATCGCTAGATCTTCCACATATTTTCGTTTGTCAGCTCTGATGCTCTTCTTCACTTCCCTGTTTGGTTCTGTGTATTCAGTTTGAGCCTTAATGTTCTCTGCTCTTGTTCGGCTGACATCGATTACTGCCTTGTTTCTCCTTTCTTCAATTTTTTCATGAGTACCAACAGAGATCCATTCCTTGTGATGGTGCTTCTTGCGACCAAGGACCTTCTGACATGTTGAAGTGATTGCCTCCTTAATCCCTTTCCAATTGTTCTCCAATGTTGCGTCCTCTCCATTGAGTAGATCCTGAAAGGCCTGGAACCTATTGGTGAGGGCTATCCTGAATTCGTTGAGCTTTACAGTATCCCGAAGAAAGGCCGTATTAAACTTGTGTGATGTCGTCTGTCCAGTTGTCCAGTGCTTCTTGAGTTTCAGTTTCATTTTGGCGATCAGCAAGTGGTGATCTGAAGCTATATCAGCTCCTCTCTTGGTTCTCACATCCTCCATGGTCCTTCTGAACTTTTTGTTGATACAGATATGATCAATTTGGTTTTGAGTAGTGTGATCCGGTGAAATCCATGTGGCTTTGTGAATGCGTTTGTGCGGGAATATTGTGCGACCGATGACCAGTTTGTTGAAGGCACATAGGTTTGCAAATCTCTCACCATTTTCGTTTCTTTCTCCCAGTCCATGTCGTCCCATGATGTCTTCATATCCAGTGTTGTCCATGCCAACCTTGGCATTCAGGTCTCCCATAAGAATCGTCAAATCGTTTGGTGAACATTTCTCGACGATTGACTGCAGCCTTTCGTAGAATTGATCTTTAACGTCGTCATTGTAGTCATTGGTAGGTGCGTAACATTGGATGACGTTCATTGTAATGTCCTGTTTCTTTGTTTTGAAGGATGCTTTAATGATCCTGGGTCCATGAGATTCCCATCCTATTAGTGCCTTTTGTGCATGTTTGGACAGCATCAGTGCAACTCCTTGTGTATGTGAAGCATTTTCCTCTTCATGACCAGAGTATAACAGCAGTTCCCCTGAAGCCAGTCTCAGTTGTCCTACCTGTGTCTAATGCGTTTCACTGATTCCAAGCACCTCCAGGTTGTATCTTTTCATTTCTGCCGCAACTTGAAATAGTCTTCCAGTCTCCCACAATGTACGAACGTTCCATGTACCTAAAAAAATGGTTTCTCTGGTTGTCAGAAGAGGCATCGGCCCCGTGACTTCCGAGGGAACTCGGCTTTCATCACGCGACGTCATAATTCTTCCTCCAACTCCCAGGGCAGAGTTAAAATAGTTTGAATTATTTTTTCTGGTTAGCGTTTTTTTGGCAAGTGAGATTTCAACGGAATGGGGTCGCCAACCCCGTGTCCAACTTTCCTCCTTTACCCGGGCTTGGGACCGGCAGTAGCCCCTAAGGTTTTACTGGCGGAGTTACATTGATAGTTAGGACGACTATAATGTTGACCAGTAGGAGTTGACCGATTGAATTAGACTACTATTTCGACTTCAATGACATTTGTTATGATAATTTGATGCCAATATAATGAAGCGGTATGGTAGCTTTTAATGAATGCATATATGTTGTAGGATCGGTATCTCTTTATGTTAACTTAAGTAATATAAAAACAAAAATCGTTTTATGGTTACACATTTATAGATCGTCATAGATATATATATATTTGAAATTTTTTTAATTATTATTAATTTTACAGTATGCGAAAAGTAATATGTGTTTAACATAGAGACATGGCTTCCTTGATTGTTTTTTTCTAGAACTACTGTTAAGACAGGGTTTACAGGAAACCTTTCTTAAATTAGGTACTGCCTGTTAACCTTATTTGCAATTCTGAGGGAACTGATAATCCTTGAGGAATATGAGACGTTAACACCCGACTGTTGCGGTCACTTCTGAAATATTCTCAACCGATTGACCACTGAGTACTGACCAACGTTACGTTTATTTTGTTTGCCAAATGGAGCACGAAGCTAAGTTCAGAGTATCCTTCTGACTACCTCCAACCACCCAACATCTAAACGTGATGTACACGATGTTGCCACTTGACTAGTAGCCATTGCTCAATATAGTCGATAAAATCTGACTGATACTAAAGGATCAGATAAACTTAATGCTAATCAATACTCGGTAACCAATCAACTATCGTTATCATGCAAATAAGTATGTATGAGAACCTTACAGCGCCTAAATGGATCCAAGTTTATTCTGTCTCTCTTTCTCTCAAATTGCTCTAAGTTTTCTTGAATAATACAAGAATCTTTTCTTCTAAATTTTATTAATAGAATTAGGTGAGATTATCACTTTTTAGTGAATAACTCTTTAGTTCAGTATACCCCCAATGACATAATTAAAATTGAACGTTTTTTAAAAAATTTATATTTGTAATCTTTTTGATAAGGATTTTATTTATCTTTTTAATTATTAGGTGATATGCGTGTTGATGATTCGGCATTAACAAGACGTAAATACTATTATGCTCTTTATGAATGGAATGTATGGGGTAGATGTACGTGTTTTGGTCATGCATTACGTTGTAAACCAAAGTCACCAGCTGAAATTATTAAACCGGAAAAAGTAAATGAATTTTTTTTTGAATGATTGTAATTAACATGTATTCACAGAATTTTTATCTGATCTACATGATAACATTTTCTGATATGCAATTACGTATAAGTGACCATTTAAAAAGAAGTAATCCACTTGTACAAGAAGAGAATTCAGTGTACAGAAGAGGTAATCGAAAATTTAACAGAAAATATGGACATAATGCATAATTAAATAGCTATTAAAGAAGAAGCTATCTTTAATAGTTGTAAATAAAAAGATATTTTGAGAGATGTAATTATTGCTCATTTATATTTATTCAATTAATGTATCTGACTGAATTTGCACATTGTTTTATTTCTCAAACATTTGCACCAACCCGCATTTATTCTACGATCGCGTTATGATAACATCATTTTCTTTTAAATTATCCCTTTAATTTCCTAATGCACCTCTATAGCTCACTAATGATAGGTTAATTGATGATAATGCGGTGAATGTTTAACTTACTGATATTTAATTATCAGTGAAATAGTAAACCACTAGAGTAAAAATGAGTAAAACCGTAGGCTGTGTAATTGTCCAACTACTATCTTCTAAGTAAGTAGTTTGTGAGTTAAAAGTTATATGTGAATCTGGATAATACTAAATTAACTGAGGTTTATTTTTTTTTTAACATCTACAGCTACATCTTCCTCCTTTGCGCTCAAAAAACCTATCACTCAACAAGTGGAATTAATTATTTTAACAAAGGCATAATAGATTATTATTAAAAAACTCAGTAATTTGTGTAATAATAAGCTTTTTAATAACAGTGAGCAGTAACAATCACGCCATCACTAGTTTAGATTAAAAATCGAACATGAAAACAATCAGAAATAACTTGGTTTCCTACATAAAATATCTTTGCATATTTGGATGACAAATATTGTGCAAATATGCATGTTCGGTACATAAGTAGATCAGATTTACACAAATTACTGTTTTGTTTTGTTAATATCTTTCATCAAACGCTCAAAGTTCACTTTTTAAGGGTAAAGAATACATACAACAGTTTTTAATATCTGTTTCTTTAGTAAGACAAATTATACTATTCAGTCCTTCTACTAGAAAAACTTTGTGTCAATGTTTGGGTATGAATTCTTTCTTAATATTGGACAAGTTGAATTCATTTTATGATTAGTAATTAAATATAATATCTAGTTCTAACTTTGTCTCTTAAATTCGTCTTAACTTCTTAAATCAAGATATTCATTGATAAGAATTTCCTACACTTTAGTATGCTCATTAAAAAGTTGCTCAAAAGTAAGAAGACTCACTGTTGACTAAATATTGATTTGAATAAAAAGTTATGCATTTTCTACTTGGCTAACTTCATAGATTCAAATCTTTTTCCTAAAAAGTCAGTAAACCTTTCTTGAATTAAATTATCCATTTTTTTCCAGTTTGAAATTGTTTGAATTATCCCATAGTTGTGAAATCTAATCAGTCTTTGTTGATAAAGGGGCATCCTACGTGGATTACAACAATATAGCCATAATGACACATATTTATGTAGAATAAATGGAATGTAACAATGGTATCCAAACTGTACAAAACAAGTATAGTGAATTCCAATGAGATCCACACTCCATCTGTTCTATCTAAAATTTTTCTAAGCTCATAATGGCTATTTTAATTATTATTATTATTATTATTATTATCTAAATGGATAATTTTGTAAAATTTAATTCGATCTGAAGGCAATTTTTGCTGTCAGCTGATATGTAAAGCTAAAATTTACTATATCTACAGTTGATCACATGAAATAAACTATGTCTCAAAATCTTTATAAATCTATTTCAAACGAAAACTGCATAAATTCTGATAAAGTTTATGTTCACCGATAGAAAATATATATTAGTTTTATTTGTGCTAATTCATTAAGAAAAAAGCCTACTAGAATATAAAATAATTAATGTAGTTATCCATTAACCGATAAAAGCTGCTTACTAACTTTTAATTTTCTTATCAGTCAGTCAGTCTGTCAAATGCAACGTAGAACTTCGTACGTGAGTACATCAGCTCAGAGACGCAATTGTCAATTCAAATCCCATAGTGGTAGAGATAGTAGAAGTACTACTGGTAAAGAAGATTAGGGTTCCAAGATATTATTGAAGGAGTATAATTTAGTGAGATAAGTTTAGAAAGACAAACGTAGAGTTGTTGACGAATCCAGAAGACTAGGATTCGAGAGAACACAAAAAGTGGATGCACCTGCGCCATTGTAAACGATTTTGAACCATGTCATTCAAGGTCTCTAACCACCGATTACTACCGTCTCACGGACCCAAACCAGGTAGCCTACATCTACCAACAGGACTCAGTCCACCTGTCAGTGACCTCATGGATTTCTGCCATTTTTTGGTCTGGCCGCCCCTAGCTTTCGTCCAACTTATTTCTACATCGCAAAACATAGCTCGACGAGGCAGTCGGCGGTTGTGCAAACGTAACACACGTCCCAAACACCTCAATTGATGAAGTTTCATTACTGTATCTATTGATCTGCCATCCTTACCTAGTACTCGTTTCCTAATGGCAGCATTGCCTACTCGGTTGTCTCAACTACTAGTAACCTACGAATATCTTTTGCTCTGACCGGCCATGTTTCGCAACCATATAAGAAAACGGAGAGAACTATTGCGCAGTACACTCTTCCTTTAGTCAGAAAGGGGATGTCTCACCTACGCCATAAGTGACACAGGTTAGCAAAAGCTAATCGAGCTTTCTGTATCCGTGCTGAGATTTCGTCAGTCACCAGGCCGTCAGCACTGATGAGACTCTCAAGATAAGTGAAGCGGTCGACAAGCTCAACTGCTTAACTCCCTATCACTAGTTCAGGTGCCAATGCTAGCCACACATTTCATTTCGAGCGTGAGAACTGCATCCCGAACATACTTGCATTGTTGCTCAGGGTAATCAGGAGACACTGCATTTTTGAGCGTCTTCACCGAATAGAACTATGTCATCGGCATATTGTAGGCCAGTAAGCGATTCTCGTGGTAGAAAGTTTACCCATAAAAACTATGATGAGGATAATATTATTTCTAGAAGCATGTCTTTGACAAAATTGAACAAGAATGGAGAGAGTGGACATCCCTGATGGACATCACTTGGAGTCAAGAATTCCTTTGACAGTTCGCCATAAGCTGTCACTCGACGAGTGGTGTTCGAGTAGAGAGCTTGTAAACGGGTAATGTACTTCTTTGGTAGATCTTTTAATGACAGGAACTGCCAAAGAACCTCATGGTCAACAGAATCAAATGCCGCCTTAAGGTCAGGAAGTTAACTATCGTCGGACGCCTAAATGTGTGTTTGTGTTCCAGGACCTGTCGTAGTGTGAAAATATGGTCTATAAAGCCACGTCCGGGTTTAAAAATAGCCTTGTTTTCTCTAGTCTGCTCTTCACGAGCTCTAGTTAGCCGTCTAAGTATAATCGAGGCTAACAATTTAGAAACTACATTATTTAGACTTATTCCCCTGTGATTGTCACAAGAAGACTTTTGTCCTTTCTTATACATTGGGACAATCCGGGATTGAGACCAGTCAGATTGGATTGTGTCCAGTTCCCAGTCAATGTAGCTGCTAAAACTGGACAGAGTTGGTTGGAGAAAACTGGTGGGCGGCCTATGCTCCATTGGGGGTAACAGGCGTAAGTATGTAAGGAAGGAATTGATTGTGATGGACGTGGTTTCGCTTGCTGTTACGGGTATGAGGGTAGTTGTCGATTCCCGGCTGCCCACACCGTGGAAGGTTGTTTCTTGAGGAACCTGGAAAACAGGGTAGATTAGTGATGGTCTTAGGGACCTGGGAGTGTGACCGCAGTGCCCAAGGGACAACTGCTTGAGGCTGGTCACGCACGGCCTTTTTGTGAAAGGATTTTTGAGTATTAGCTCCGCTCTTGAAAGCCCTTGGTGGGCACCCTTCCCGTAGGAGACGGAAATCCGTGAGGTAGGATGAGGTGTGGCAATTTTAGGGTCGACCTTTTTCACCCTTCCTTCCTCGTGAGAAGGCGGTAGCATCGCTGCAAATGCTGGTTATCTGAGTTAAACACCTTGCTGCTGTCACACCTCCCGCAGTCAACAAGCAGTACGACTTCGCCCTTAGACCTTGAGTAGCTGCTTTTAGTCTCATCGATCTCCAATCGACCTACCTGGCATGGTGGACCCCACAGGAACATAAGTTCCAGCCAATATAGCTCGGTTGGGTCATCACGATAGGCAAGCCCGACCACCACGTTAAGGTAGCAGTTACGGTCGTGAATTTTCTTATCCAGTCAGCTGGTTTGTGATATCGTACCAGTCTAGACTGATTGCCAAACATAAAATTAATATATGTTTATATATTTAAAAGTGATCAAAGTTATAATCAAAACAATTGTCTTTTACTTGTTTTCACTTTTTTCATCGCTTATCTTTTAAGGTCTATGGTGTTTGTGAATGTACACATAATACTGCAGGTGAAAATTGTGAAACATGTGCTGATTTCCATTGGAATAAACCGTGGATGCCAGCAACAAGAGATGCTGCTAATGCATGTGAAAGTAAGTTTGATTGTTTATTCCTACGGATAGATCGTTAAACGACACTTTAGTGGACCAACTGACAATGACTTTTGTTTATTTGATTTCCTTCTATGTTGTTGATATCTACTCTATATTCACTGCTTGTAAACTATTTGTATGAGCGTTGAAAAAGGATTGTTTGTAGCTCGATCAACAATCCAGTCTAACGGTAGTATCTTCTTGGTCACCGGTGAGTTATCTTATGATAATAATATACCATGGAGATAAGAGGTTGCACACAATCCTTGGATCGATCACAGTTAGACATTAACATCGTCGGATGCCAGCTCAATGGTCCAGAGGATAAGCTTTAGCGGCCCGGGACCGGACTTCTGTGTGGACGAATGATTGAGTGTGCAATGAAATAAATTTTGCCTCCCATTTCCCTATATCATACTTAGGCTAACCCCGTCTGTGCGACGGTGGTAATAAAAAGGCCAAATACGGTTTCGCAGATGAATTTATTTCATGCAATCATTAATGCAGACAAACATGAGAGGGAAAGCGTACTAGCGAAACGAAGCAAACTGGAGAATTCGAGTGAGCCAACTCTCCATGAGTTGAAGAGTGTTTAAGTAATAGGCTAGACAAGTAAAAAGCGATAAAGTATCCACACACAATACCAGGAAGAGTCTTCAACAGGGTATTGTTAAACAGAATGAAGAACTTCGTAGACGACCAACTTCGAGATCAACAGGCCGGATTTCGTAAGGATCGATCGTGTACTGACCAAATTGCTACATTACGGATCATTGTGGAACAATCAATTGAATGGAACTCACCACTCTACATCAACTTCATCGACTACGAGAAGGCATTCGATAGCGTGGATAGGAAAACACTGTGGAGGCTTCTTCGACACTACGGGGTGCCTGAGAAAATAGTCAACATCATACGGAATTCTTATGACGGATTCAACTGCAAAATCGTACACGAAGGATAGCTAACAGACTCTTTCGAGGTGAAGACCGGTGTCAGTCAAGGTAGTTTACTCTCACTCTTCCTCTTTCTCCTGGTCATCGACTGGATTATGAAGACGTCGACATCTGGAGTGAAGCACGGTATCAACTGGACAGTTAGGACGCAGCTGGACGATCTGGACTTCGCAGATGACCTGGCTCTTCTATCGCACACGCAACAACAAATGCAAGAGAAGACGACCAGTGTAGCAGCAACAGCCTCTGCAGCACCAAGTCTCAACATACATAAAGGAAAAAGCGAAATTCTCCGATGCAACACAACAGGCACCAACCAAATCACTCTTGATGGAGATGCCTTGGAGGACGTTAACACGTTTACATATCTGGGCAGCATCGTCGACAACCAAGGTGGATCCGATGCAGATGTGAGGGCACGGATTGACAAAGCAAGGGCCGAATTTCTACAGTTGAAAAATATCTGGAACTCCAAACAACTTTCAACCAAAATCAAAATCAGGATTTTCAATACAAATGTGAAGACAGTTCTACTGTATGGAGCGGAAACATGGAGAACTACCAAAGCCATCATCCAGAAGATACAAGTGTTTATTAACAGTCGTCTACGCAAAATACTTCGTATTCGTTGGCCAGACACCATCAACAAGAACGAACTGTGGGAGAGAACGAACCAGATTCCAGTGGATGAGGAAATCAGGAAGAAGCGGTGGAAGTGGATAGGACACACATTGCGGAAAGCACCTAACTGCGTCACGAGACAAGTCCTCACATGGAACCCTGAAGGCAAAAGGAAAAGAGGAATGCCAAGGAACACATTACGCCGAGAAATAGAGAAAGATATGAGAGGAATGAACAAACATTGGACAGAACTGGAGAGAGAAGCCCAGGACAGAGTTGGTTGGAGAAAACTTGTGGGCGGCCTATGCTCCATTGGGGGTAACAGGCGTAAGTAAGTAAGTAAGTAATCGAATTATTACAAATACAAAATTATGGTCGATAGAGTAGTCGAATAATTTAAAGGATTATGTACAACGAATGAATGGTTAGAAGCTACAAAGCGTTTGTGAGCAGGACTGGAAGTCTTGGGTTTCAATCTTGCGGGTAGGAGAAGTCGTGTATGCAAATCGCTGATGAGTCTCATATCAAGATGAAAATGCAGTTCAGTACTTCCAAGTTCTACGTAAAATAATCTGTTTCTGAAAGATTATCACTTACATGAATGTTGGTTTAGACTGTGTATCAGCCGTAACATTAATTAGAAAATATAACAATCAGAATAATTGTTTTATTTTGGGATAATTTTACAATCATAATTGTAAGAACTTTCGTATACTTATCACTAAGAAATGTTGACATTTTCAAGCACAGTTTATTTTAGATTGTTTACATTACACGGTGATCGTGAAAATATCTAAAATATAGTAGTGAAATTTTTTTCTACCGTTCTAATATAAAATTTGACAATTGAAGACAAACAACTTCTGGAAATGACAGTTAGATGATAATCAACTTAGGTGTTGTTTGGGGTTAATGTTTAGTATAAATCATTTTTAAATCAAGTGTGTAGTAAAGTTTTTAACCTATATTACTTTGAATAAAGGAACTGTACTGGATACGGCCTTTCGCTCGAACTCCGAACGTTACCTTCCATAACTCTAGCCACTAGTGAGTACGTGGTTATTGTTAATATCAACAAACTAAAACATTCAACAATCTCCTCATATTTTATTATAGAAGTATATTTATTTAACAATTATTACAACTTTTCATTGTGTTCCATTTTCATGAATCAATGATTGTTTTTCATTTCGTTAGTTGAAAACGATTAACATGATTTTTCAGATTTGTCAGGATTACCGAACATGCAGATTAGTATTTACCATTAATTTCTTTATTATTATCATTAATATCAATCAATCATTTTTATGTAAAATTTATTGATATATGTGCTTCTATTTTTTTTTTTTAGAATGCAATTGCAACAATCATGCAACAGCATGTTTTTTTAATCCTGTATTATTTAGTAAATCTGGTAATATATCTGGTGGCAACTGTCATGGATGTATGCATAATACAGAAGGTGTAAATTGTGAATTTTGTCAACCAAATTTTTATCGTCATCCAAGTTATCCAATAGATCATCCTTTGACATGTCAACGTAAGTTATTATTAACAGTCAGTCAATGACGTAAAAACCATTTTTGGTAGACATTTAATTATTCTTTGATTAGTGTCTATAATCTGTTATAGCTAAAGGGAAAATGATGTTACAGCTTTATTAACTCTTCATTGAATCGCTTTGAGTTACTAAGTCTAAAGTGAACAGAAATATGATGTTGCTTTTTAATTCTGTAAAACTGGCCCAGTGGATTCGATCAACCACTATAAATAATTAGATAAATACGCAATTCGCTTTTAAGTCCAATGACCAATCATTGCTTACATCCTAGTTATACATTGGCACAAATAATTCACTAAGAACCTTTCAAACTGTTACACTGAGCAAGGCTAGTTTGAATCCAACAAACAGAATCAATTCCTTAAGGATTTGAGACTAATCTTGTTGACAAGTGCTAAATGAGTATGAAAGCTTTTCTGCCGACTACCTCCAATAATTTGATCATATTTGGAAAAGCTTTTCATTAAAATTCACTAAATAATGCTTTCTTATTTGACTTCATTTTTATTTTAGCATGTAACTGTCATTTAGATGGTACATTATATGATAATTTTTGTCAGCAGTACACCATACCAGAACAGAATACAATTGCTGGTCGTTGTATATGTAAGAAAAATGTTGGTGGTGAAAAATGTGATCGATGTAAAGTTGGATTTTGGAATTTTCAAGCTGAAAATCCTGATGGTTGTGAATGTAAGTAAAAGTCTCTGTAAGACAACTTGTATTTATTTAACAGATTCAATACTTGTCATAAAATAAACTGTTCTCATCGCTATGTGTTTAGTATATGTTGTTCAGTAGTCAAGAAACAACTTGCATCACATATAACTTATAGATTGTAAACTCATAATGATTTGCTTTTCAACATTTTGTTGTACACAACGGAAAGAGAGTAAGAACAAAGATTTGAGCAGATTAACATGATTTCATTTATTCCATTTGGTTCTCATGAGCTGCTGACAATCTGTAATACTTAAAAATCAGTTTGAATTTACGAAATGAAAAAATCCTAGTTAAGATTTTCCAATGTTCACATTTCAGTATAATGTAGAGAGAATATAAGTAAATGCAATAGATTCGATAACATATTGTAAATGAAAGAATTTTCTACATATCTGGTATTAATTGAAGAAGAAAGAGCTAAGAGCAAATTGTTACTCAATGAACAAACTCTAATATAAGAATAAAGCACAGTCAGCTAAAAATAAGATTAACAGATTGTCAAAATGAAAAAGATATATTGATCTATCTAATTAAAACGTAGAGTTGAAGAAAAATACGGTAAAACTAATTACTTCAAATCAAATTAGATTAAATTCATCGTACTTCATCCATCATACAATGAACTGAAAAAATATGATATAAAAATAGGATGACCATCCATGAAACTTCATCAAAAATTTTTCATCAAATTTATCGTCAGTTGGAAAAATCAGATATCGAAATCAATGAATGCATTATTCTACCAAAAAATGAAGAAAATAGTGTGTTTATAATTTTCCGATCAAATCACAACGACAGTATAGATCCACAACCCCATTGAGGACCTTAAACAGAACCTTCAAGTCTTCTGAAAAACACTCGACCATTAGACCACTGACTTATAGCTCTTATAGGTTACATTTCTATTTCCAGTTAGTTCATGATATATAGTACTGCGTTACACCATATATGATTGAACTCCACTGGTTACTTAATCCTACTAAAACTCGAGAATCGATTGAAGGCAAATATATCAGATATGTGAACCGTTTGATCCCGTTTGATTATTCTAAAGGTTAGGCTCTAACCACGAGAATCGACAGTCCTGGGTTCAATGAATAATGGGATTTTGAATGTGCACTGCTGAAAATTATCATACCCGAAATGAACAGCTGTACGATATAGCATACGGGCTTTCATTAGTTGTTTAACTAAAGTTAATCCTTGATGTACACTATAAAATTCAACAGTCTCTAAAAACTTTTCATATTGAAAATCATTTGAATCAGTTTTATCCAAACCATAAAACGAAATGACAAAAAATAGACAGTTTGAAAATTAGGGGTAATAAACTCAATTCTAAGACGACACAACGTTGACTAGATATTTCCTGGGAATTTTTTCATTTGCATCAACCAAAAACCAAAATTATGTTGAAAAACTTAGATTAATAATCAAATAAAAAAATTACAAGCAATCATAAAACCAAAAGTTGTTTCAAAAAGGGACGGTGATCATGTTAGGTCAATAGTCAACAACAGATAATAAATTTTAGGGTTAAGAGAACAAACTATTATTTACTGTCTTTTAAATGATGGGTCGATCACTGTTAAACCACCATTAGAAACGGAGGCATTGGACTGCCGTCTGGCCCTAGTATAGGACTCATCAGCCGTACACACCCACAAATCCTGCACGCGTAAACCGAACCCAGGACCTTCGGTCTCTCTCTCAAACGCTTAACCACTACTAGACCAATGAGCCAGTATCCAACGGTGTTAATGTCTAAATGTGATCAATCCAAGGTACTGCGCAATCTCACTTACTGTTTTCGGTAGGATCGGCAGGATCGAACTAAACTGATCATGGCTTCTCATTAAAACACCGAGAATTTTTCCAGGAAGCTAGTCACTAGTGAGAACATTTTTTGGTTTTAATTTCAATGAAACGCAATAATTTCCATAACTCTATAATGAAAAATCATATTCATGACTTGTCAATATATCATAATAGTTCATTCCTGTCAAAAGTTTATGCTGAATATGTTATCCAAGAAGATAATGCATGTTTCATAATTAAATTATCTAACACTAACACAATTAAGTATAAAAGTATAGTTAAAAAGTGTAAAACACGTTTATCGATTAAGACGAAAGTTTCAACAGAGATTCTTAATATTCTAACAGTATTAGTGACTCGAGTTTTTTTTTGTCTTACTTTTTACGCATGACTGATAGTAAGAGCTCAATATCTTTTACTTATTTTTTTAATGATAGTCTACTTGTATAAACCTTATCATCATGAACGTAGTCAAATATGTGTTCTATTCCAGTGCGGTAATAATAATAGCTTTATTCACAACTATGAATTTTATCTTGGCAGAGAATTTTTACCCTCAATTGTGGAATGATACAATAAATTTCTTTTTAACATGATTAAAATTTTCTCTATCTCAACAATTATATTTATATGTCTTAAATAGTCAGTAATCTACTACATAATTAATGGTGACAGTTTTCTATCACTTCATTTACAAAAATTATCTTTTTTATTCATTGCTCTGATACTTCTAAGGGTAGATAAACGCCAAATGCTTTCATATAACTGCATGTGTATATCCACAGTCACCAGAGTCCCACTGACTGCCTTCTCACGCAGCTGGGCTATGGTTCATGAAATCGAGAAGACGAAAAGCCAATATAAGATCAGGGCTTAGATCACGTTGGTGGGTATGGGAAGTCAAACCAGGGGAGGTTTAGAATCCTGATTTGGAATAAATGGCGCATGAACCTATTGTCGGCTACTGACTATCATAGGATTGCATCTGCTGACGTTTCTCTCCAGTGTAACTACCGCTTTTTTTAAAGTAAATAAAGAGGAGCTTATGACAATAAATGTAGTGTTTCGGTTCGCATTTTTTCAGTATTTGGCATTGTAATCACTTATATCTATCGAATATTACCGCGTCAATACATGCAGCTAACATCCATTATCATTTGGTTTAAAGCAATCCCACAAAAGAAGATTTCCTGTGGCATTTACACCATTGAGAAATAATTAACCGTAACTCATTAGTAGATCATTCTCATAAATTGTAAAATAATGGACGCTAATCATCATACTGTTTATAAACCGTATGGGGAAAAGCGTTGCATGGAAGATGCTGTCAAAAAGAAGAATTTCATTAAATCAAAGTACACGGGGTAATCAAAATATTTGGAGACTAGAAGAAAATCTAGAGATGACTGTCCATAGTCAGCTTGGATTTCAGAACACAAAATCGACATACATGGAAGATTAAAGACTGGGTGTACCTACTGCGCAAACGATCTGTGATTTCGATTGAATTCTCCCTGCAATGTCTTATATTTCTTGTGTAGTTAATTTCAACAACTCGACAAAAATTCTAGGCAGTCGTTTATCTTTTCTTTCCATTGAACCTAATGAAAATAACTTATATTTGTAGATTGGGAACAATGTTAGTTTCTTTTTTATCGGATATTGCGTAGTTGATGATATATATATATATATATATATATATATATATATATATATATATATATATATATATATATATATATATATATATATATATATATATAATCTTTTTATGTTTTCACAAAGCTTGTTCATGCAATATGATTGGAACTATTGACAATGGTGGTTGTGATCCATTTACTGGACTATGTACATGTAAACGATTTGTCGGTGGCCCTAATTGTGATCGATGTTTAGTGAGTATTTAAACCAAATGTAATATTTTATTGTTTCATGAATAAAATTCCTCATAGTTTTTTATAATAACGAGATAAAATTTAAAATCGATCAAAATAAGTTAGTTTTAATATTTAAACTATATTAATGTCAATTTATTAACCATTTATGCTTTTCAATAAAATACATTTCATTGACTGTTGAAAACTATGAAAAGCTTAACCATAAAGCTTACATAAACATAAAACAAGATTGTGCACTAAATATGGCTAGTGACTCGAAAAGTATGCTCTGAGTGATTTAGATAGACTACCTAGTTAAATACTTACGAATGTTAACTCTTGTATTTTAAAAAAAAATTCTTTCATACATTCAAAAATAAATATTTTGAAAACAACATTACTTGCCTAACAATGCTATATAGACAATTCGTCTTGATTTTAAGTTTACATTGTCTAACATAGAGAGCATTACACTACTGCGATGGTTCTTTGGAGACATACATTGTCTTCATTATTCAAGTAAATTAGTATTACAGCCCGAGTAAACAAATGCAAAACTCCTAGTATAATTTAAAATTTCTCGTCACTTATTCACAGGAGTGAACTGATTCGTCAATATTAGTATAAAAATTTCCTTCAGTACTTCCTGTGGATACATCCTGCTTATGTTTGAGAGTGAATGGAAATGAAGTCCAGTTTGTGTTTTGTCTATTATGACACTCCTATACGAAACGACCCTATATGTTTCAGTTTTTTTACCAGTAATCAAACTCACTACACATCAGTTTAAATGCCTAAATGACTCGTTAGTGGTTAACGAGATATGGTCGCATCTTATTGTTCAGAGGGCTCAGTCTTACAGGACTAATTAGCTCCGTCAACCTACAATTCTAACATCTCTAGGATTAAAAAAGATTTAAAAAAATTCAGCGAAAAAAGTCAGGAAACAGCTAGACGTATTGTAGTGAATGAGAACACAGGTGAGGGCAACCGAATTGTATTTAACGAAAATTACAGAGTTACTCAGTAAAATCGGAAAACCATATCGTAAATCGTTCATTTGCAAAAGATCAGTTCATCCTATGGAACTGGACTGTTTCTGTTGCCAAACATCAATCCATTGTCACTATTCATGCGTTTGATACAAATTCCATTGTTTTCTAACTCTTCCTTTCTTGATCTTCCCCCCGTATTATGCTACCAGACTTTACGTTGACACTCACGTCATATACTACTCATAAGTAGTTCGCACCACAGCACCACACTCGTCCCCCCTTTTAATAAGCTGTCGTCGTAGTCCTGCAAAACAGAGCCCCTGGTCAGTTAATATCACCTTCCGTATTCCGTGACACGCTACAATATGCCGGATTACCACTTCGGTCATCGTTCTTGATCACTGGTCTGGAATGGATACGGCATCTATCCAACGTGTAGCGTTTACAAGTTGTCGATGCTGGAACACGGCGGCAGGCACACACTCGATAAATTGCGACGCCAAAGACTGTGCCCCGCCCACTCCTCACGGCGCAACCCGGTGAGCTCCGCAGCAAGCACCAACAGGTCACCGTCGGCCGACAGCCGCGCCGACCGGAACCTCTGCGGCGCCTCCTCCCTGTCCGCTGGGCTGTCGAACTCCATTATCAGCCACCCGGTGACCGTCTCCCACGCCGTCTCCTCGGTGGCACCGTCCAGGCTGTCGTGTACCGCCTTCGCCTCACCTTCCCGCAGCGTCCCCAGCACCGTCAACTCCGCCCCAGGCCCCCACCAGCTCCACCGTGGCCCCGAACTCCTCCAGGAAGCTCCGCCAATCTCCGTCCTGCAACTCCTTCGGCCACGGGAGCCCCTTCCTTCGAGCAGGCAGCGACACCAAATGTAGTGAATGAGAACACAGGTGAGGGCAACCGAATTGTATTTAACGAAAATTACAGAGTTACTCAGTAAAATCGGAAAACCATATCGTAAATCGTTCATTTGCAAAAGATCAGTTCATCCTATGGAACTGGACTGTTTCTGTTGCCAAACATCAATCCATTGTCACTATTCATGCGTTTGATACAAATTCCATTGTTTTCTAACTCTTCCTTTCTTGATCTTCCCCCCGTATTATGCTACCAGACTTTACGTTGACACTCACGTTATATACTACTTATAAGTAGTTCGCACCACAGCACCACAGTATGATAGTCCACCAACAGTGCTTACCTCTTTCAGTGGTGATGCGTATCCACTTCAAGATTATTAACTATCAACAGTAGCAAATATTCATTCGGAAACAATTATCACAGTTGAAAAAAATATTGAAAAAAGTGTATATTGGCATTAGGTTTTGGAAATATTGACGAAGAAAAAAGAAATTGTGACATGACTCATTACTATGTAATTTAATAATAAATATTATTTATTTTACAGGAAGGTTATTTTAATCTATCAACAACACCATTAGGGTGTCAAGAATGTGCCTGTAGTCAAATTGGTTCTCTGAATCCAAACTGTGAACGTGTTAGTGGACAATGTGCCTGTAAAGTTGGTTTTACCGGACGTGATTGTAGTGAAATAGAAAATGGCTATTATATCGTTCCACCACACGAAATAATTGATAGACCTGACGAGAAAGAGATTACACTGGTTGGACCTAAAGGTGAAGGAAAGTATGTAATTGTTCTTGATGTGGATCCAAAACAGGTAATTTAAAAAATTATTCCTAACAAAAGTAGCTTTGTTGAAATTTTGTATAATTTGTAGCTTCTGTCTGATATCGTAGAGTGTACTACTGAAGAATTTCAAAACAAAAAGAAAATCCACACCTGGAGCCCCAAGTCTTTTTTCTTTCACACATTAAATCACAGATAAGGATTATTGACTAATATATAAACTTACGTTCCAGTGATAAATAAATTCTTTTATCAAATTCGCAGCACTAATAAATATACAAAGAAACGTCAAATTATTTTTAATCGGGATATTGATATGCATTACTGATTAATGGAATTAATATTTACTCACGCAATTGTCAGCGTTAAGAATGTCACCTTAACAATTTTATATACTTCCTTCTGCACAATGTTGAACTAGCTCTTAGTAACTATGTCTTACTTTTCTTGTTTTTTTTTCTTATGCATCATACTTACTCTAAATTTCCCGTAACTAATTAAAACCTAACCACAAACTTATTGATGTTCATATGTATAACTTGACCATAAAAGTGGAAATTTTATATTCCCAAACATTTTCAGGGAATGAGTATTATCGTGTTAAGAACTAATGAAAATCACTTACAATGTTGCTTACTTGAAGAGTTCATTTGAACTATTTTTCTCCAGCTTTCACATGTATATAAATTCAGATACATAAATTTACCCTCAAAGAGCAAGGGTAGTTTTACATTGGTTTTCAGGAGAAACAGACACTGTCCATTTGTTAATACTACAACGTGAATAGTACAGCTTAATCCTGTGGCGCAGTCACACAGGTACTTGATACCCTGGTGGACCACTACACCGTTTAAGTACACTAATACATATAGCGATTATCTCCAATCCATGATCGCGTCAATCAGTATGCACAGCATGAACAAGCCAATTTGATCTATCTTGCTTACATGACTGTCAAACTATGCATACTACGAATTTATGCTCTCGCACAGTGCATGATGATGTCACTTATTGTAAATAATTATTCACTAAAATATTCTTTGCTTTCTTCAAATAAATAAGTTGGCGTATTCGCTTCAGGCTATAATTTTTCATCATTCATTTATTGATATGATTTGTTGATGAGAATAATTTTTACCTAATGTATATCTGAAGCATTTGTGAATTAGTTAAAATCTCAAACAGTGGATTCCAGTCGAAACGAAACTTAGGTTGAGAGACTGCTACCGATTGCTTTCAAAAAGCATTAATCAATTAAGGCTAATAAGACTATGTTGTCCAGCTATCTAGATGTATATAATTGATACCAAGATGAACTGGACCAATAAAAATGGATCAGTATATTGTATAAGAACACCGGAAGAATAATTGTATAAAACTAATACATGAATTTCATCAGTTATAATAGTCATTAAGATGAAATCAGGTGAAAATAATTTGAAACTAAAATTATTATCATAAAATAATTGTCAGAGTTAATACAAAATTCCTAGTGACTCAATGAATCCAATCAAAATTTTTTTGGAAATACAAAACCTGCGTAGAATTTATAAATTGTATTTATAAAAAAATTTGTTATTGGTTGAGTAGACTGTTTCGAAATCAAGAAGGTAATTGAAATTATGAATCGATCATTGCTAAACCACCATTAGAAACGGAGGCATTGGACTGCCGTCTGGCCCTAGTATAGGACTCATCAGCAGTACACACCCACAACTCCTGCACGCGTAAACCGAACCCAGGACCTTCGATCTCGCTCTCAAACGCTAAACCACTACTAGACCACTGAGCCGGCATCCAACGGTGTTAATATTTAAATGCAATCAATCCTCACCCATTTTCCTTCATAAGTGGCTGCCTACGCTTGTAATATGACCAAACGGCAGCCCAGTTCTTCAAGGTTTCCAATGCTGGTCTAACAATAACCGTTTCATAATTTCAATGAAACTCAACAAACTCCATATCTCTGTAATAGAAATCATAGAGGTTATGTTTGAAAAAATTATAAAATTAATTAATTAACTATATCACGTATAAAATATGAATTTTGGAATCGTTGTGTGCAGGCAGATATAAAAAAGTTTTAAGTTGATCCGATATAAATAATCCAGTCATCTTAAATAATTAATTTGGACAAAACAAATAGCTGAATGATTTGAAAATTTCTGTTGATAATTCTTAAATAAACATTAAATAATTACTTTAATTGTTCAAAAACACCGTAAATTTACATTTTTGATATGTGTTATTCATCGGTTCGGAACCATTTTTATTTCAATTACATACCTTTTCGGTGATTTCACTTTTTTTTTCAATATCTAGTTTGGTTCTGGTGATAAATGGTCGATTGTTGTGACACCTTTTCAGTATGGTGCAACAACATGCCAAAATTCACCTCAAAATGTTAATATTTATCAAGGTATGGTTAATATGTATATAATATTTCTTATAACTGAATTTTTTAAAGCATTGAAATAAATATCAATGGAACATTAGAAGTTTCCTTGTGTTGCATTGTGATCTCATTTTAAAATCATATGTTCTCATGAGTTATCAGTTTAAATACAGAAGAATTTGTAGTATTCTAACTAGTTTTGTGCATGTGGGACTTGACTTAACTTGTCGATCGTTACAAATAAATTTATAAAAAGATAGCGCGTTTTTCATGTTTGATCCTAGTTTATGGTGAGTTTAAAAACTAATTAATGCACCCTTCTAGATAATTTTCAGTGTAACTAGCCATATAATAATCCGAAAGTAAAGAATGGTCATTCATACTAATTTCGGTCGTTATAAAAGTTCTACAAACTGTTTTATAAACCATTTAAAATAATAACCATTTAACAAATCATTAAATTTATGTTCAGTTCTGAAACAAGTCAACATTGTGAAACAAACAATTTCTGTGAATAAAAACTGAAACAAAGTGCTTTACCTTAACAGTTATTCGCCCCCCATCTTCCAAATTTCTCGTTGTTAATTGACTGAAATGTGTCGACTTCGATTTTATAAAGTAAAATGTAAACCAACAAAGTGAATTCATACGTCAAATGGTTATTTATATATTTGTTTAATAATAAATTCTATAGTATACAGTTATTGAAAATTACCTTTAAATGTTTATGTTGTTTGGTTTCGTAACATCGTTTGATTGACCTGTTGTTATTTTTTCAGACACTCACAAAGTTATTATATCAGATGTTTGTTTGGAACCGGGATTACCGATTGTTTTACGTATCGTTCCTGAATCATATCCAGAAGGAGCATTTACTGAAATTCTAATTACTGATGTAAGCATATCTTTTACTGTGGTAACTTACATATTATATATATATATAATACCAGTCAGTTACAACGCAGAACTCTGTACGTTGTTCATAATGCCATACCGAGTCAGCACGAAGACATAACAAAACATAGCTCGACGAGACAGTCTGTAGTCGAGCATTCGTAACAGCACTGATGAGACTCCCCAGATACGTGGAACGGTCGACACGCTCGACTACTTGACTCCCTATCACTAGTTCAGATGCTGACGCAAGCCAATCTTGAAGCAATATTTTGCATTTTGAGGGGTAGAATCGCATCCTTAAAATGCTTACATTGTTGCTCAAGATGGTCAGAAGACTGTACTATGTCGCGATCTTCTCCATTTTCCATTCTATTCTATTCGACATATTCTAAGTCAACCATTAAGTTTCCGGTTATAAGGTTATTGTGCCTCTCTGCTGCACCTTTTAATGACAGACACTGCCAGAGAACCTCATGGTCAACGGAATCGAATGCCGCCTTAATGTCCAGGAAGTTAACTATCGTCGGACGCCTAAATGTGTGTCTGTGTTCCAGGACCTGTCGTAGCGTGAAAATATGGTCTATAAAGCCACGTCCGGTTTTTAAAAACAGCCTTGTTTTCTCTAGTCTGCTCTTCACTAGCTCTATTTTAGATACTATAATAGTTAGACTGATTCCTCTGTGATTGCCATAAGAGGAGTTTTATCCTTTCTTATAAATTGGGACAATCAGGGATTGAGACTAGTTGGATGATATTACGCCCAGTCCCCAAATTCTACTTAAGATCTCGGTCAGTCTAGCTGCTAAAACTGGACCACCATCCTTAAAAATCTCAGGGGTCAATCTATCAGGACCCGCTGCTCTCCCTCGCTTTAGATTTACTATCACTTTCTCAATTTCATAAAGACTTGGGGGACTTAAGTCGATTTGCCATTCAGGATGACTGGAGATCGTGCGTAACCGAAGTGTGGCTCGAGGAAAGTTGAACTGATCCCTGAAGTGTTCTGCCCATCGGTCCAGTCTCCTGGATTGAGAACGAATGATACAGCCATCCTTTTGTGAAATAGTGTCTCTAACAGAAGGATCTCTAAGACTAGTTTCCTTGATTAGGCGAAACGGTTGTCTATTGTTGCCTGTCGCCACTGCTTTTGCCATCGCTCTTGCTTTCGCTATCCACCACTGTTCGCGATCATTCGAAGGCTTTTTATCGGCCTGCGCTTAAGATGAATTCGCTCTTCGACATGTTCAGAGCCAGGTGGGATGAGTTTATGAGCGCCTATCAGTTCAGTGGATGTTACTGAGATCCACGGCTTCTTCCCAACCATTTGGTTTACCTTACCAGCAGATATCGCTGTTGTTTCCATAGCTTTTTGGAAATCATTCCAAGTTGCCTCCGTATGGGCATCACTTACATGGCAGCCCAACTGTTTTTCTAGTCGCTCCTGAAATATATTCCTAGCTATGATATAATAAAGTAGCACCCTAAGAGGTTTCCTTGCGGTGCCTATCCTACGTCCAGTAAGCTGCAAATAAACACGCGCTCGCACTGGACCATGGTCTCAATCTACACAAATGCTCCAGAATGAGCGGCAGTCTTTATTAGAGCCTTTTCACTGGTGGCTGATAGCGATTTGGTCCAGTTCGGTCGATCGTCGACTCGACTTTGGGGGTCTTCATGTCAAAATATGTTTTTCCTCGTGCTTAAAGCTAGGGTTATCTGAGCACAGCGGCAGCAGACGGTCTCTATTATTATTTGGGCCATAACACCATAAGATCCACCCAGGCACGGGAATCGAAAGTCCTAGCCAATGAAGCCTGTTACTTTATTTAACAAAAAGTTCGAACATTGAAAGCTCCAGTATGTAGTTGAAAGTGGGGTTTCAGGAGACCGTGAATAACGTTTCGTGAGCTCGAAACGCACGAACGAAAGAGAGGTCGGTCCTGGAGATAAGATAGTTATTAGGCGGTATAAGAAGGATTTGATTGTGATCGATTTCGCCTGGTTTGCTTGTTATGATACGTGTGCGTTTGGCTGAAAAAACTCTTTGTTTGAACACTACAACGGTATAAAACTGTATGGTCTTTTAAATTACTTGAATAACATGACTTTCATCCAAATATATTTAAGAGCAAATATTAGAAGATAATTGCTTCTAACTGATCTTCATATTAAAATTGTTATCATAACTATTATAGTAAGAACACAACAGGTTAGCTAACAATATGAAATGACTGAAATGATCATCTTCTTAGTTTGATTTCAAATCGATCAACAAACCAAATGGGTTTATGACTGTATACAACATCTACTATGTCTTCTTCACTTTGTGGGAAGCACTCTGGTTGCACGAGAAGGCAGTGAGTGAGACCATGGCACAAATCCATGAAGTCACTGACAAGTGGACTGAGTTATGTCGGTAGATGTCGACTACCTGGTTAGGGTCCGCGAGATGATAATAATCGATGGTTAGGGACCCTGAGTGACTGTTTTCAATCGCACAGGTGCATTTACTCTTTGTGTTTTCTCAAAATCTAACCTTCTGAATTCCTCATCACCTTCTCTTTCTGAATTTACCTCACTGAATTATACTTCTTGGATAACATAATCGAACCCCAATCTCTCCGATTACTTCTAATACTTTTACTACGTTTACTACTGTGTGATTTGAATTGACAATTATATCTCTGTGCTAATGTGGTATGGCAACTTGAACTGCTGAACTTTCGTGGAAACTTCTACGTTGCTGTTAATCATGGTGATGATGATTGTACGGTCGATTTGGTTCTAAGTAGTGTGATCCGGTGAAATCCATCTAGCATTGTGTATGTGTTTGTGTGAGAATATTGTGCCGCCGATGACCAGTTTGTTGAAGGTACGTAGGTTTGCGAATCTCTTTCCATTTTCGTTTCTTCCTCCTAGTTCATGTCCCATGATGTCTTCATATCCAGTGTTGTCCATGCCAACTTTGGCGTTTGGGTTTCGCATTAGAATGGTCAAATCCTTTGATGAGCATCTCTCGATGATTGACTGTGGCCTCTCGTCTCCATTGTAGTCATTGGTAGGTGCATAGCATTGGATGACGTTCATTGTCATGTTCTCATTCTTTGTTTTGAAGGATGCTTTAATGATCCTTGGTTCATGAGATTCCCATCCTATAAGTGCCTTTTGTGCTTGTTTAAACAGCATCACTGCGACTCCTTGTGTGTGTGAGGCATTTTCTTCTTCATGACAGAATATAAGAGCAGCGCTCCTGAATCTAGTCTTTGCTGTCCTGCCTGCGTCAAATGCGTTTCACTGATTCCAAGTGTTTCCAAGTTGTATCTTTTCATTTCTGCAGCAATTTGGAACAGTCTTTCGGTCCCCCATATTGTTCGAACACTCCATGTAACTTAATTAATGGTTGCTCTGGTTGTGAGAAGGGGTATCGGCTTCGTGACTCCCGAGGGAACTCCGCTTTCATCATGAGACGTCATAATTCCTCTGAATGAAGATCTTCTAGCTCTCAGGGAAGAGTTAAAATGGTTTGAATTATGTTTTCTGGTTAGCGTTTTTGTTAGCGAGTTAGTTTTTATGTGGGATGGGGTCGCCAACCCTATAACCAGACTTACTTTATCCGGGCTTAGTACGGGCAGTAGGTGCAGATGAACTCCAGTTGGTTAAAATTCAACGTGAATCAGTTTGTAAGAAAAATAATAACTCTAGACAAATTGAATAATACTGGTAATAATCAATTGATTTCATTTTCAAAATAAAGATTATACTGATACCCACTGATGATAGTGACTTAGCACGTCGTTGTGAAGTTTTTCGTGAAGCTGCTTTGGAGATATTGGCTGGTCGTCGCGAAGATAGAAGTGGAATGCCACCAGAATGTGAAGTCTATTTCCGTCTGCCACGTTTAAGTTGGAAAGAAAGCAGTTCTGTGGCACAAAGTTAGTTTACTAGTTTATTATGCGTTCATTTTTGTGTGTTATAAGTTTGACTTAACTAGGTAGAAAGTTGCTCTTGATGTAGGTTTACTGTTTATTGATACTAAAGTTCATTCTTTTAGTTGCGTTAATCCATATACACTGCTTAAATAAGGTAGCTTCACTCAAAAATATTATTATCCAATATTATCGTATTGGAAGAATACTGGAGTGTAATAAATTCTTTCAATCAAATCTATATTACTATCTTAACAGCAATAAATAAGCTTTGTTTGTATTCATAAGAGTGCTACTTCAACCTCTAAAAATCCAACTCAGGAGTCATAGTGCTATCTTATTATCTGTTGACTATTCCAACATAATTAATCTATTCTTCATGAAACTCTGTTGACAATTTCAATTTCAATGAAATTAAAATCGGAAATAATATTTGTAGAGTATTTCATTAGTAATATTTAGGTTGATGATTTCAAAAAGTGAACAAATAACAGAAAATTTTGTTCGTTTTTTATTGTCAGACTAATTAATGAAACTCATATAAACTTAACTTCTGATGTCAAATAATTGTCAGGTATTAATTTCATGTCACCAATCCTACTATTAAAACTTCTAGTAAGTATCGCAAAATAATATTATCAAAAAATTATGAACATATTTTTATATTTCCAATGGAATGACATGTCACAACGAGGATAGAAATAGAAATAAGTCAGTCAGGATTCAATGACAGTAAGAGAGAAGATATTGAGTAATTTTCACATTCGTTTTAAATCTTTTTTTTTATAATGAAATGGAGAAAAATAGAAATGTTATTATCTTATTAACAATTAACATTTAATTTCCTAATTTACCTAGAATGTTTATGTAATTCAACTGGTTCACGTTCTGAGATATGTGATAAACTAACAGGACAATGTCTGTGTAAAGATGGAGTTGTTGGTAGACAATGCGATCAATGTTCACAATATCATTATGGTTTCAGTGCAAGAGGATGTACTGGTATATTTATCATTATTATTATTATTATTATTATTATCAGTAATAGTAGTAGCAGAAAGAAGTATTGATTTATTTATATATTATATAGTTAATTAATTAATTAATTATTTCTACGTACAGTGAACTAATATCTTAATTCATATGTAGGATGTGACTGTGTTATATTTGCCGTCGGGCTCACCAGTTCTGTGGCGGTTGTTATTCGATATATTCTTGGACTTCGTACACTTCTCGTTCTAACAATCATTACTAGATGGCGCGCAATGGTGTATAAATCAAAAGACGAATACGAAACGTTGATAACGTTTACTATCGCACTACACACAAATCAAAAAATCTATTGATTAGATGAATTCGTAAATACCTTAGATCCACAATTACATGTCATTATCGTAGTAAACCTGTTTATCACTCAAAAGTTCAGTCATGTATTAACAACAAGATAATATTTAGAAAACATTAAGTGATTTAAATTGGAAGTGTAATTGCTGTAACATATACCATCAAGGGTTAAAACAAAGTTTAATAAAACAAATATATTTTCAATGAATGAATGATTTTCGATAGGAATACGAGCGTTATATCATAATCGTTATCAAGAATATTAACTCAAAATAATTCTACTAGTCAATAAAAGTTCTTGTATTGTTTTTGAATAAAATTACCTACTCTAAACAAAATTAAGCATCCTAAGCTATACAGCACAGAATTAATATACTAGAAACGTATTTGTATAATATTTGTTTTTATTCAATAACATTTTTATTATATTTTTAGACTGTGCATGTGATCCTCAAGGATCTGTTAGTTTACAATGTCATGAAGATACTAGTCTTTGTGAATGTCGTCCAGGAATTATTGGTAAACATTGCAACATGTGTAATCCTGGTTTTTGGGATTTTCCAAATTGTCGTCCATGTAAATGCAATGAATTTAGTGACTTTTGTAATCAGGTAATACAACAAATACAAGTGAATGTAATTAATCCATAGTTATATTTTTATGATAATGTTTGTAATACTCACAATAAATACTACTGAATTTACACAATGTATATTAGATGTCCACATGTTTATAAGATTTTGTTTTAGTCTCGTTATAAGTATTAACTTAAGAATTACTGAAAGCTGTAAAGTATTAAAAATTTATCTCAATCTAGACTGGAACTCTTTGGTAGTACCCATAATTAACACCAATGTATACTAAATTCAGAATCCAAAAGATGGATTTTCAGGAAGTGGATTGGGAAACAGTAAACTATGAAGTCAGCTGAGTAATAAGTGAACCACTAAGACTTCGATAAGTCATCAAACTAGGATTTTTAAACCCTAATATCTTTGTCTTGATGTTTATGAATCACCGACTCACTTTGAAAGGTTGACGGTACTCCCTGTAATGGAGTTTCTGCGTTAATAATCCCATGTTTCCGATGATCAATCTACTGACATAAACTAGTATTTATGTATTTAAATGACTGATTCTGTGATTCGTTTACAAATATTTGATGTACAAGAATCATGTATATATTTAGAAGTCACTCTATAAAAACATTGTTTCTTACATCAAATGGGAGACTAACTAAGATTAGTAAGGGTTGTGAAGATGTCCGTTTACTACTTCAGACGCATCAGAAACATACACCTTCAATTGCATACGACGTAAAACATTTCACATTGTGTAATTAGTTTATTTCAACTTAAATTCTGATTTATGCATAACCATTCATATTTATAACAATATGTTACTCCTAGAATACTACGATACTTGTACACATTCCTGAAAATCGGTTGTCACATTATATTTGTTCGGTTCAATGTGAGAATTATTTTTAGTGTTCAACCCTTAAACAAGTGAATTTTACTCAGTTCAGTAATCTGTGTTCAGAAAAATATATATGAATTTGCTTGATCATATTATATTTAACCAAACTGTGTGCCCTACCGATAAAATGTAACAGGAAAAGTGAAGGTTTGTTCAGAACTTTCCAGGCTTTTAATCCTCTACTAGTGCTATACCGTCTCAATTTTAGTCAACAACAGCCTTCTTTATTCGAGTATAAGATATTAAAACTTACATGTACTTCAAAAAATATGTATTTTTCAATGTCTGCTTTGCAAAGACTACTGGAATATGTGAAAACTGTAGAGATAACACTGGTGGTGATCATTGTGAAATATGTCGTGAAGGATTCTATGGAGATCCATTGAGAAAAACCCCTTGTAAACCGTGTTCATGTCCAGGTGGTGGATTAAATCACGCTAAAGAATGTCATATGGGACCACTTGAGGAGCAAATTTGTATTTGTAAAGTTGGATATACAGGTAAGTAAATTTAGTTATCGCTTTATAATTTTCCATATTTCTAATATAAAATATTTGTTTTATTCCCAATAACACGTTATTCCTTAATTATCATAATAATTGAATTATTTCAATATCAAGGTTTGTATCCTTTAAATTCTCGGATAGTTGAGTATACTACATACATGAGAAACAAAGACTGTTGCAGTAGTTGAATTCCCGATTTCTTAACACCAGTTAGAAAAAATTAAAATTCTGCAATTTTTATCACAAAATACGAATTAAATTCTGTTGAGTATTATTCCCAAAATTGTTAACTAACAACAGTTGGTATACATACATACATCATTGAAAATACTCCACAATTTTTAGTTCAGTAAATAATTTTTGATTTCAGTGATGAAGATTTCCAAGATAGTAGTCTCATGGTTGACTATAGAAGTTATATAATTCATTAAAATTAGAAAGCACTAGAAATATATTTGATTTTAACATAAGACTCTTCAGCAGTATATATTCATGACTTTATGAGCGGTTGAAATACGGATGTCCAGGACTCGCGGTGAGCACTTGAACTTAAGAACACTAAATTCGTACCCAATATGTCCTGTATAAATTAACGATACTGTACGACCATCACTGTTTATAATCAGAGATATTTGTCTCACCCCCTACAAATGTAAAGTTATCTGGTTAATCGACTAATTCTATCAAAGAGAACGAAAAGCCAGTTCTCATCATTGATGATAATTAGAAAATTCAGGTTAATTTAAAGGAAATAGAACCCACCGTTGGCCGGTATGTATGATACATATGTATTATTTTTCTTTAGGTTCACGCTGTAGCCAATGTGCTATGAACTATTTTGGTAATCCAACTGAACCTGGGGGCTCTTGTCGACAATGTGAATGTTCTGGAAATATTGCAGTTAATGTACCTGGTAGCTGTGATCCAATTACTGGACAATGTTTAAAATGTTTACATAATACAGAAGGTTATTACTGTGATGTAGTACGTTTGAAATGAAAGTATTTTTTTCATTTTTCATTTTGTATGTTATTATTAATAAGGTACTGAATTATCCTGCTACTAATATTGTAGATTAGATTGTAATTAATCATTGCATGTATATATTCTTCTTGTTGGCATTATCTCAAAATAACCGGTGTGTCACAGTTCTTATGGAAGGTTGCGTGTTCGAATCACGTCGGGCTTACCGATTTTGTGGCGTCGGACTTTCTTTATCTTCTAAATTCTGTATATCTCCGTCTTGAGCGTTACTACAAAACACGAGCCGTTGCCACAATTTCTTTATTATTCAAAATATTTAATGATTGATACAAATATTGGATTTAATTCAAATATGTATAGTTGATATTGTCATCGAATTATTTAAACAGTGAATCTATAAAGCTATATATTCGTAGGTGGTAAGTAATGCCCAAGCATACATGCGCATATAAGCTCAACAATGATAAAAGTACAAAATATGTGTGAGGTGCTATAATAGTTTGTAGTTGGCAGTGAGATTTAAGACGCACTTATAGTGGCATTTGGGTGTGTTTCGATTCTAGAGTTATTGTTCAGAAGTTAGTGGGTATCTAAATTCAGCAGTTCAGTAAATAACTTGTTAACTTTCCAAGCGGAAGTTACCGAGTTCGAGTTCCAGTGTGAACATTAACATTAACAAATAGGCACATACATCTGACCCATGTATATGATATTTTCATTCTGTTCTTGTGAATGGGAACACATAAACTAAAAATAGTATTTTAGTAAAAGCCTTCATACAAGAGAAATTTATATTACTTTTTAAACTCCACTCTCTTATTTATAGTGTAAAGATGGCTTTTGGGGTGATGCAGCGCGTCAAATGTGTCAACCATGCAACTGTTATCAATTTGGTAGCATCGATGAAGGTGTTGGTGGCTGTAACCGTGAAAATGGCCAATGTTCATGTCTACCAAATGTGATTGGTCCAAGATGTTATGAATGTGCACCATATTTCTTTAATTTAACTTCTGGTAAAGGATGTGAACCATGTCTATGTGATCCCACTGGTTCAATTGATGATTTATGTGATCCTGTAAGCTTCACTTCTTCATACAAGCGTTTTATATTTATAACGTTTTTTAAATAAACCAAAAAGTGAATATATGATAAACAATAGTTATTATCAACTCATAGTCGATACACTATAAACATAATTTGTTCGTTTCCAATCACAAAAAGCCCGTCGGTTTTTACCGAAAAGCATCTACAGATCGCTATGACTGATTAGTACCATCTGAAAGTGATCTGAAAACTTGGTATAAGTTCAGATTCTTGATAGAAAATATCCGATCTTTAACATACTCGAATCCGCTTAGGTCTGAAAGCTGAAATGTTAGTCTCTGTAAATGAATTATATACACTAAAGTATCATTACTCGATTATTTATCATACTATAAATCAAAAACAAATGACGAGATGAAAATTCTGGTCAAGATCTTTGATAAAAAAGCACTGAGAGAGTGATAATTTATTCTCAGTATTGGGTTGTAGAGATTGTTGTGTTTCTTTAAAATCATGAAGTGATCAATGTTAGACAGGAAGCATGCGCTCAATCTTTTGGATTGATAAGAGTTAAAAATCGACACCGTTGTATGCTGATTCATTTGTCTAGAGGTTAGGCGTCTTAGACACAAAACATCTTAGGTTCTGCTCCTACTTTTGGAGTCGAGAATGTACATAGATGAGGACTTCGATACCAGGATGAAATAGCCATCCACTCCTGTAAGTGGTCTAATATTGAACGGTTCATGGTTTCAGTGTATCTACAAAGTTCATAGTTCTCAGTCAGAATTAGTTCTTTTAAGATTTCAGGTACTCCTTGCTAATAAGTGTCAATTAACATAAAACTCAGATAAACACAGGGTCACTTGCCGACTATTTTCAAATACCAAATACTAGCCAGTACAAATAGTTTCTAGATATTTACATTTTCTAATAGTGTATTGCATTTATTTGCTAGGTTTAAACTCAGCATTCAATACTCGAAGTTTAGTATGGCAACTTGAGCTGATGTACGTACGTACGTACCAATTTCTACTTTGTAACTGATGCAACTAATGTGTTTCAGGTTATGGGTCAGTGCCGTTGTAAACCAGACCGAAGTGGGCGCAGATGTGATCAGTGTAGGAGATTATTTTATAGCGATCCAACTATTCCAGATGGATGTCAACGTGAGTTGATTAAAGTTCTCATTCATTAAAAATAATTGTTTTTAAAAACATTAAACTGATTTATTTAATATTGATATTTTCTTTCAGGTTCATTGTATATCATAATATTTTTCAAAATGAAATTTTGTTTTCTATAGCTTGTAATTGTGATCGGATTGGTTCAATAACTGATCTATGCGATCCATTAACTGGTCAATGTTTATGTAGAACAGGTATAACTGGTCTACAATGCAATAGATGTGATAGAGGCACTGAAGGTATTCTACCGGACTGTGTTCCATGTGGTGAATGTTGGGAGAACTGGGATAAAGCAATTGATAAAATTATTAGTAAGTCAATTATCACTCTATACTACTTCAGTTGGTCTACTTTAGTTATTTTTTCCTATTGAAATATATATCAGTGAATAAATAAATAAAATGAAATAGCATTTCAGAGATTGTTATTGTTAAAATATCAGTGTAGTTGTTAAAACATTTAAATAACTACAGGAACAGAATAGAACGGTTGTAGGACATTGTTTTAAAGAAATAGTCTTTCTAGAGATCTGTTGTCTTAGTGACAGCTCATTTTCAGCAGATAGATTTAATAATTCTAAATATGAAATAATATATTTTAGTTCTATCATGGTCAACCTGAACATGTCAGTATAAATTCTATCAATGTCCGTTTTTTTTCATGGGTTAATCTTCTCGATTAGTTGTGATACACTGCCCACCTATCATCTCTCACTTTCATCTCATATTTTATGTATCCTCTCTACCTATTGTGGCCTCCAGCTATCAACACATTGTATCCAACTACGTGACAAAAAATATTGTCTATTTTGGTACCAGTCAGCAAGAATCGCATGATTTGTGGCTTTTAATTTTCTTCTCACCAATTGTCTGCTGGCACCCAGCATTTGCAGGTGCTGTTATCGAGTTTTGTTGGAGAGTCTGTATCGACAAATACTTTTATCGAGAAGTTTAGAAGTTCCTCTAATTCAAGTTTGACCTCAACTTGCAGATATGCCTCGATTAGATTAAAATACGTGAACCAGATTAAGCTATTAAAGATAATGCAATGATCATTCAGAAGTACAGTCTGTGTTGTTTTTATAGCATGACTTGTTCGATGCCTTTCAACGAAAGGAAATACAATAGTGTAACCTCTCCAAATTACGAAGGTACTTTCGCCATGCAATTATACCAATTTCCATGGCCAATTTACTTATAGATTTCTTTTGATATTACCGTAATGTCAGTGACTGCACCGAATTTTAATAATATATATACTATGAATAGTTTAAATTGCACTACGGAAGTATTTTGAAAAGTTGCAGATAAACCTATCGATTTGTCACTCAATTTATTTCTTGATTGTCTTCATTTTCTGAACTTAGCGAACAGTATGTTCTTCTAATAAAACCAACCCTTATTCTTTATCACTTTACATCAGTTACAATCTCGAGAATTGTCAATTACCATAGTATAACTACTTGGATTGAGGAATTTTTTTTATCTTTTCCTTAGCCAACTTGTCATATTCAGGTAATAATTAGAATGCTGAAGTCTCAGCATCAGAATGAGATATATGCTAAACATCTTGAACTCTGAAACTATCTCCACTCTCTGATTTGATGAAACTGATTTTCTAAATATCATTATTTATCTGTTAATATTTCACAGCAAAGTTTTCGTAGCATAGATTTAGGTCTAAGTCAAAGCAATGTAGTGTTTGTATTCGAATATCAATGAATATTAAAGACTGAATAAGAGTAACAAGAACTCAAACGCATCTTAAGAAAGAGTCTACAATTTAAACCGCCTGAAAGCCCGATTAACGAAATCAGCTCATTCCAAAGAGTCATCGCTTGCTTCATAACTAGATATTGACTAACAAAAATTCAAAGCTGATCAACAAAACTCTAGCTCAGCATATGGATGATATCCACAGAAGCTCTGTTCATCGAGAGTTAATATAACATTAGATATATATCCGAGTTCATTGAATCAAATTTTAACGAGAAAATATATACATTTCAAGTCTTATAGCTAGACCAAAACTCTACGTAGAGTTCTTCTGCACCTGCTGCCCGTACTAAGCCCGGATAAAGTAAGTCTGGGTATAGGGTTGGCGACCCCATCCCACATAAAAACTAACTCGCTAACAAAAACGCTAACCAGAAAACATAATTCAAACCATTTTAACTCTTCCCTGAGAGCTAGAAGATCTTCATTCAGAAGAATTATGACGTCTCATGATGAAAGCGGAGTTCCCTCGGGGGTCACGAAGCCGATACCCCTTCTCACAACCAGAGCAACCATTAATTAAGTTACATGGAGTGTTCGAACAATATGGGGGACCGAAAGACTGTTCCAAATTGCTGCAGAAATGAAAAGATACAACTTGGAAACACTTGGAATCAGTGAAACGCATTTGACGCATGCAGGACAGCAAAGACTAGATTCAGGAGAGCTGCTCTTATATTCTGTCATGAAGAAGAAAATGCCTCACACACACAAGGAGTCGCAGTGATGCTGTTTAAACAAGCACAAAAGGCACTTATAGGATGGGAATCTCATGAACCAAGGATCATTAAAGCATCCTTCAAAACAAAGAATGAGAACATGACAATGAACGTCATCCAATGCTATGCACCTACCAATGACTACAATGGAGACGAGAGGCCACAGTCAATCATCGAGAGATGCTCATCAAAGGATTTGACCATTCTAATGCGAAACCCAAACGCCAAAGTTGGCATGGACAACACTGGATATGAAGACATCATGGGACATGAACTAGGAGGAAGAAACGAAAATGGAAAGAGATTCGCAAACCTACGTACCTTCAACAAACTGGTCATCGGCGGCACAATATTCTCACACAAACACATACACAATGCTAGATGGATTTCACCGGATCACACTACTTAGAACCAAATCGACCGTATCTGTATCAATAAAGAATTCAGAAGGACCGTGGAGAATGTGAGAAACAAGAGAGGAGCTGATATAGCCTCAGATCACCACTTGCTGGTCGCTAAAATGAAACTGAAACTGAAGAAGCACTGGACAACAGGGTGGACAACATCACAACAGTTTATTACGGCCTTTCTTCGAGATACTGAAATGCTCGACGAATTTAAGATAGCCCACAGCAATAGCTTCCAGGCTTTTCACAATTTACCCAGTGGAGACGGAACTACGATAGAGAACAACTGCTAAGCAGCCAAGGAGGCAATCATTTCAACATTTGATAACGTTTCGGGTCACAAGAAGCACCATCACAAGGAATGGATCTCTGTTGGTTTTCTTGATAAAATTCAAGAAAAGAGGAACAAGTAGGCAGCAACCAACATCAGCCGAACAAGAGCAGAGAAATCCAAGGCACATACTGAATGCATAGAAGCAAACGACTAATTAAGAGGAGTATAAGAGCCGACAAACGAAAATATGTGGAAGATCTAGAATAGGCTGCGAGAGAAGGAGGCTTAAGACAATTGTATAATTAATACAACAAAGAAGCGGGAAACTATCGTAAACCAGAACGACCAGTGAAAAACAACGAGGACACAGTAATCAGCAACATTGAAGTACAGAGAAACAGGTGGGTAGAGCACTTTAAGTAACTCTCGAATCGACCAGCCCCACTGAACCCACACAACATTGAAGCAGCATCCGCGAACCTCCCAGTCGATGTCGGCCCACCAACAGACAGATAAAGAACAGTAAAGCATCAGGACCAGACAACATTCCAGCAGAGGTAATGAAAGCAGACGCGGCAGAAACCGCAAAAATACTCCACATTCTCTTCAGCAAGATTTGGGATGAAGAACAAGTATCAACAGGCTGGAAAGAAGCACACCTCATCATAATACCAAAGAAATGCGCTCTCAGCATGTGTGAGATCTACAGAGACATCACTCATCTCTCAATACCAGGCAGTCTTCAACGGGGTATTGTTAAGCAGAATGAAGAACTTCGTAGACGCCCAACTTCGAGATCAATGTGCTTAGAAGATATTCAACATCATACAGAATTCTTAGGATGGATTAAACTGCAGACTCGTTCGAGGTGAAGACCGGTGTCAGGCAAGTCTGCTTACTCCCGCCCTTTCTCTGTCGACTGGATTATTAAGACGTCGACATCTGGAGGAAAGCACGGTATCCAATGGACAGCTAGGATGCAGCTGGACGATCTAGACTTCGCAGATGATCTGGCTCTTCTATCGCACACGCAACAACAAATGCAAGAGAAGACGACCAGTGTAGCAGCAGCAGCCTCTGCAGCACCAGGTCTCAACATACATAATGCGAAAAGCAAGAACCTTCGATACAAAGCAACATGCGGCAACCAAATCACTCTTGATGGAGATGCCTTGGAGGACGTTAAAACCTTTACATATCTGGGCAGCATCATCGACATTAAAGGTGGATCGGATGCAGATGTGAAGGCGCGGATCGGCAAAGCAAGGGCTGCATTTCTACAATTGAAAAATATCTGGAACTCCAAACAACTTTCAACCAAAACCAAAATCACGATTTTCAATACAAATGTGAAGACAGTTCTACTGTATGGAGAGGAAACTTGGAGAACTACGAAAGGCATCATCCAGAAGATACAAGTTGTCTACGGAAAATACTTCGGATCCATTGGCCAGAGCCCTTCAGCAACAACTTACTGTTGGAGAGAACAAAGCAGATGTTAGCGGAGGAGTGAATCAGGAAGAAGCAGTTGAAGTGGATAGGACACATTGCGAAAAGCACCCAACTGCGTCACAAGTCAAGCCCTCACACGAAACCCTCAAGGTAAAGAAAAAGAGGAAAGCCAATGAACACATTACATCGAGAAATAAAGAAAGATGTGAGAGGAATGAACAAAAATTGGACAGAACTGGAAAGGGAAGCCCAGGACAGAGTTGGTTAGAGAAGGTTGATCGCCTGCCCGTGATCCAGAGGAGTAGTTAACAGACGTAAGTAAGTAAAGCTTGCCAAAAATCAACGTTCTAAAGGTTGTTATAGAAAAACCAAGTAATAAATGCAAACCATATTGATGGACTATATACGAAATCGATAGCATAACTAGAATTATTATTTAACAGTCTTCTAGCTGGTTGTTATACATGTTATATTATATTAGTAGCATTGAAAGTAATAAACATCTTGATAAATTTGTACTGCTTTTCAAATAAGGACTGAAATCGATTTGCATCTATTTTCATCATCACATCATGGTTTGTGTAATCGCATTTATTCCAAGGTACACATCATCGTCAGATGCCATTTGATACCTAGCTCGATAAATTTTAAACAACCATTTCACCATAACACCTATGTTACCAAGTTGCACGCAATCAAGGCGTAACGATGAGATTTGATGAAAGCTGCAATGCATAAATAACGGTTTTAAAAATATGAGTTTTGTTTTATGTACTGATTTATTTTTCTACAATGATAATTAAGATTGCCAATACAAGTGTTGTTATTTCAATTACCGTTAAGATGATTATTGTATTAAAATTATCAAAGACATTGATTGTTAATTACTTTTACTACTAGGTGAATTAGATCGTTTGCAAAATCAAACAAGTCAACAGTTACCTAAAGAATTAAAAATAATGTTTGATAGTTTAATCAGTTTATTAGATCAAATTGAACATCTCCCATGGATGACTACAGATGATACAAGATTGAATGAATTACGTGATGTGTTAAAGCGAAGCGAGTAAGTTATTTATAATCAAAATATGTATAAAATTAAACATACATACATTTGATAAATAATAAATAATAACTCAAGGATAATAATATTTAAATCATTCATTCAGGATGAAAGAAACATTTCAAATCTTGATAAAGTAGTTGTTATATAACACATTCTGATATATATATATATAGTATATCCATCCATATGAATGACAGCAAATTGATTATTGGTTACTATGTATGTGTAATATCTAAATGTTGATCAAGCTTTGTAAGAAACAAAAAAAAACAAATTCTTGTTAAATAACATAGGTGTCTTTATTTCAGTTTAAATAATACATAAAATCAATTTTATTGTTAACCAAAATGAGAAAAAGTTCTACAGTTATTATTACTAGACAAGAAATTTTTAGTTTATTTATCGATTTGGGATATGGCCACAAATAGGATGTCAGTCGGGGTCCGAATAACTTGACGGTGACGTCTCAGACTAACGACTAGGTAACAAGCGTTCAAATCTAACAGGGAATGTCAATATCCTCAAAATCATAGGTAAACCTTGTCGATTAATGGAAACCAACACGATGTTCAAGTCAAGCTTGTTCCCCTGACGACTATTGGCCTTCCAGATACTGAATCCATAACTTCTGATTTATTCTGATTTGTAAGCAGATGAACCGTATCGACTGTTGCTTTGTAATTGCTGAATGAAAGCATTTTCCTTTAGAAAAATCTCAACAGTATAAAATCGCTCATATTATATTCATCGTATTTTTAAACAAGTAAGGAAAAGAATTATGAAATAATTCTTATTCACCTTAATTTTATTTGTTAACTTTTTTTTATTCAGAGAAACTGTTATGCGTTTAAGTTCACTTGATCAGTTTGCTGATAGTTTGACCAAATGGGATGATTTAATAACAGAGAAATTTACTCAACAGTTAGAGCATAAAGTACTAGTGAACGAAGCAAAAGCACATCTAGAATCACTTAAAACACAACTACAAAGTATAATGAATGAATCAATACAATTGGAACATCTTGATCAAAAAGGTAAACAATTTGTTTTAATTAGTGTAAGTAGTTTGGTGAGTTTCATAGTTGATGTCATGAACTGACTGCAGCTAAGCAACCCACTAGAAACAAAGAAACACCATTGGATAGCTGCTTTATTTTAGAATGGTTTTCCTAGTCAGGGCAACTCCACAATTCAACCGAAGACCGAAATTAGGACCTCGTTTTCTTGCAAAGAATTTTCAACCATTGGTCTACAGAATAGACATCCAATGGTTTAAATTCCTAACTTCGATCAATTTGTGATAATGCTAAACCATCTTTCAGTGTCATTGGTTGTCAAACTTCTTACACATGATATGGTTTGCCAAAAGAATAAGAGTTCTTAGTTTAATTTTATCAGTCATTATTTGTTCTTCTGCCATTGTCAATGTAAGTGATTTCAACGCTGAAGCTGTCCTAAAAACGACAACAAACATGTATGCTTTCGATCTCCTACACTAATCTGCCCTTTGATATTAACACCTAATATCTTGGCTAGAAGGAAGGGTTGAACAATTCTGGATTTCCTCGATGACTAAAGCTGCTTAAATATTTTTGTAATTTAGAAAACTCCGCTATGGCAACTTTAAGGGTTGCAAAGCTGACGCAGAAATTCGACAATTCCATATATAACATGGTCTGCTCATTTGTACTATTTAATTTACTGCCACATAGTTTACATCTTGGACATAACTTTATTGAAGTGATTGTAATATTATAAGTTCTTAACCGTTCTTTACACTGTTATGACGGGATGAATATTGCAAAAGTTGAGCTTTCTGAACTGTCCTAATTGAGGATATTGTTTATAGTTTTTATCATAAGTACATTTTTTCGATTACCATAACTGTGAGTTTTTAAGTGATTCATAAACTGTTTTTGTGTATTTTACCTTTTTTAAGTTACTGTTCACTTAACAGGGACCTGCAACGCACTTCTCTGATGTAGTTATGATCCCTGATTTTCGAAGGCACTCCAACTACGACCAATCCTTAATAAATCTAGCCTAAAACTAAACCACTCCCTTAGTACTTTTCGGTTTGCCGATCTAAAGTCTTTACCGATAGACATTTTGTAAGACCTGTAATGTCTTAGTCACATTTACCATCTAAATTAACTGATTTTTTACCGCATCATAAAGAACTTCCTAAACCTCATATTTGAGCTAGTTAAAAGAGTTTTAGTGGTCAGGTATCTGACTCCAATTAGTACAAACAATTTAATATGCCATGGAATAAATCTTTTTTACAACTAAACATATATTCTGTTATTGAATAAAGATCATACAGAAGTCAGTAAATCCTGAACTAAATTTCTCGACATCATTGATAGAAAGTAAGCTTTTATCCAGAATATGTATGTGATCACGTATATTTTTAAGGGAATTTAAGCAAGTTTTGTATTTCACAGGAGCATACTTGTCAATTCTACGTTCAAAAGATATCGGTGATCAAGTTTTGAACATACAAACTAGTATAGAATACCAACGTGGTGGATTAAAAGGTGAATTATTAGACTCTAAACGTGAACTGGAAGCTGTTCAAACACGTGCAGATCATCTAAATACAGACTGGGCCCAATTGGACAGGCGGATTGAAGAATTTCGTGAAAAAATTCGCCAAACGAATAGGCTAGTACGTAAATTTTTCCTAAATTTAACTATTTAAATGGCTATGTTTACACATTTTGTCGATTTCATTCGCTACTTCTGAATAAATAATAAGGTTACTCGTAGAAATCCCGAAATCAAAATGATAGGATTTTTTTCATATACGATATTGTTGTGTATCAACCAATGAAAACCAAGGAAAACTAGACACCAGTTATGGAATATGACTTTTCAACAGTGCATATCCTCAACTCCGATACGAACTTCAGGCTCTGTGACGAGCGCTTAATCTGCAAATTACTGAATTCGACACATGACGATTTGCGGTGGTGTTTTGTTCTCTGAGCTGGTTGTTTTCGGTTGTGGAGCTTTCATTGTTCTTCTGAACAACATCATCAGCACAAACTTCAGATAGAAGTGAAGCATTCGAAATTCTCCACGTTTGACCTGTAACTTGTTCTGCTAACCTCGATCTTCATTGGTTGCTGTTGTCTTTCGACCTGTCGTTGTTTGCAACTATGTTTTGATTGCCTCCCTCTTTTGATCTGTTTCTTGATCTAGTGTCACCTATGATTTTCCTGATTGGTTGATAAATTGGGTCAATGTCGATGTGTTTGTTGATTGCTAATTGACCTGAGTGCCAAGCTTCTAAAAATTCTCTAGTGTTCTTTGTCCTCCCCCTACCCAGTATTTCCACATTGTTCCAATCAAATGTGTGTCCATAATTGTCGGTATGTATGACGGTTTATATTACTAACATTTTTAGTTAATGACATTTAATTTATGGAAGGCAAAAGAAACAGCGACACTTAACGAATTAGACAAAAGAGAGGATACAATAAATATCAAATAAAAATGCCCTAAATCAAGTAACCTGATTTAAATAAAAAAAGCTTACTACATTTCATACTTACCGTATTTCTTCTCATCCTAAGTAATGTTACTTGATCATTAGTCAGTCGGGTGTATAATGTTTGTTACTATTTTACAACTTGTTAAATAATAAACAATTTTTTTAGTATTTTAAAAATATAAATACCATTTCATAATTACCTTATCTTTTTGTTTTGTTTTTGTTTTTGAAATTATTATAGATTTGTGGGGACAATAGTTTACCACCAACTGAAGATACAGATCAAAAAGTATGTCCATCAATTTGTGGTGGTGCTGGATGTGATTATTTTTTTTCAAAATCAACTAGTCTAAATGTAATATCAACAATTCATGACAATAATCAACATACTTCACTTATATCTACTAAAGATAAATTGATGCATAATTTACATACTGGTCTAATTAATACATGTGGTATAAATTTTGAATGTAATGCCAGTAATGCTGGAAAATTAAGATCACGTATGGAACAGTATTTAAACCTTCAAATTCGTTTGACTAATGCACTACAGAATGTATATAAGGCTGAAAACGCAATATTAAAGGTAAGCGAGAATTAGTTAATATTTCAATTTTTTCTCTATCTGATTCATTGATTGATCACATAATTACAGTCATTGACATTAGGACTTTTTGTAATTCATAATCTAATTAGAAGATGCAAACTTGATGTTGTTACATGTGTCAATGCACTAATAACAGATGTATTATACAGAGTAATCGAGAAACAGTATAACCTTTTCATGTCAGTTGTTAATCATTGCTCTCATTGAAAACTTTCAATTGGTTCTGTCATTATAAACAAAATGTGATTAGTAGCTATTTAAATATACGTAAAGTTATCCATGGTTTCCGAACCGAATCTATTGAACATAATCTGAATAACAAATAATTGGATAATTCAATAAAATAATCCTGATCATTGAGTGTATAAACAGTTATTTTTTTTTTTGAACAAAATCCTTATTTGTTTAAAAGATTGATTTCAAACTAATTTCGGTGTGAATTAATCAATCCAACGTTTAGCTTTATCCAAAGTAAGATGTCAAACGAGAGGGATGCCATAACCATTTTGTATGATAAATTTTAAAACCATGAAGTGATGGGCGAAAAAACATTTAATGCTATGTCTACTACTCGCAACGTCTCCGCAAATCCACTGCATGTATTACTTTTAAGCTTACTTGTGAGTAGTACATACCACACTACTGTTTAGTTGAAAAAGAATTCTTTACTACTCAAATTTATACACACTTCATCTATTTCGAATTGAATTATAAACTGTTCAGTTTTTATAAGTTCATATACACTTCATAATTGTCAAGTAATCGATTAAATTTAACTGTATTCCATTTATACGAAGAAATAAAGATTAAAAACCTTTTTGATGCCCTTACATCAGCAGATGAGTTAAAGATAAAGGATGAATCGTATGATATAAACACTTACATAATTGCTGATAAAAATGAAGCTATTGATTGCTTAAAATTAAACAAATTCATTTTTTAATATTTTATAAGCTGTATAATTATGAAATTAATTATATTTTTAATTGTCTTTTTTTTTTATCACAGGTTCATTCAAGTCGTAAAACTGCTGAAAAAACAATTACAAATTTAACTCTACAAGCAAAAATTATCAAAGAACGTATAACTGATATGTATAATCTGACACAAAATTTAATAAATGAAGCTGAGAAATATGTAAATCTATATAACAATATGCGACAAGATAAATTCGATGAAGTAAGATAAAAAATAATGACCTAATTATTGTTTATCAATATAGATTGTTATTATTATTATTATTCTAAATTAATAAATAAATGAATGTTGATATCATTAGTTAATCTCATGAAATAGAAGCAGAAACGAGATCTGAAGTAGTAGGAAAGATGAGGTATGAACAATAAGATTTGTGAGGAAAGAATGGGTTATACTCGTCTCTAGGTATGCTTGAAACTATTACGGGTTCACGTTAGTTGAATAACGAGATCGAAACAATGAACCAGCGTCCAGGTAGGCTACTGTGATCCGATTGTCCCAATTGTACCAGCAAGAAGTCTGCATATAGCGTAGAAAGTGTATTCTACAAACACCAAGCCAGCACACAATGAATCGAAGCACACAAATCGCGTTTATTTATACTCCACAGAGACGTCTTCGGGAGGGTCACAAAAATAGCAAACTAAAATGACACAGTAATCAATCATATCCAAAGATTCTTCTTGTGTGAAATGTGTTCTCAAGGTCAACTGATCCGCCCGTGAATAAAATTCAAAATAAGGCATTTATCAAGCAAGTTCTGGGGATCTAACATCCCCAACAGCTTGAATTCACGAGATAAAGTTTGAAATATTTTTGAAGATCAACGTCAAACGAAAATGATGTAAGTACATCTGTACCACTATGAAAATATCTGAATAGTTAGTTGACGTCCAAAATCATTGGTTACGAAAATCGCGTTGAACCTAAACCAACAAGGTTTACATTCACCATCACAGTTCACTTCTGCGGACTGATAACAGGTATTAGCTTAGTTGCACCTACCTTTTTTCTAAACTAATCTTGCGCTAGTCGTCATTACACGTCGAGATAAGAAGTGACTGAATATTCACCTACTATTTTGAAACGTCACTGAAAAATCGACCCACTAGTATAAAACAAAACCAGCTATTTATAATGTTGTTGATGGATTAGGCTTTCAGAAGTTTCTAGAATAGTCGGTGAGATAACACGGAATTAAATAAGACAACATATCTGAAGGGACTAAAAAAGGTGATTTTTTCAACTAAGGATTGCTTAGCTGGTATACTCGGGATACATCGTTTAGATCATTCGATACGTATACCAAAACTATCATCTATAGATAATTCCTGTAATTTTGTCTGTAAATTTCTATTGGAAAGAGATATTGATCTCTTGAGTAAAAATTATTCGATTACTCGAAATTCTAATTGAATAAACATTTTAGTTTCTACAATTCGATTTATTGTTGATCGTGAATCTATTGATTTCGAAAATATAACTAATTAATAGTGCTGAATACCTCGTTCACTAAGGAGAGTGGATTTCCCTGAATTTCTTATAAACAAGATGTGCATACTAATCTGTATAAAATAATGGTTAACAATCAAATTGTTATGATTAACAGCTCACATGAAAATAGATTATGTAAACCTAATGAATGTTATCGTTTTACAAAGTATACAATATTTATTTCGTATAACGTTTACGAGTTAATTGATCATCATGCATAAATCTCTGTGCTAATTTTCAGTAAATTTTGTTAAGTAGTAGAAAATGAAGGGATTATTCAATATGTAAAATTAATTTAAGTGTACTGTATTCAGCTAGAAATTTAGAAATATCAACTTTTGTCCCAATGAAGGTGGAGATGTAGATAAATTGGAAAGTTTCGGAATAAAATAAAGAGATCCAGGAGTTTTATCATTCTTACAAATAATTATCTAGTCAACATGAACTTGTAAGCTATACAGAACATACAGAACAGAAATATGTTACAAATGCTTTAGTCAATGGAAGTTCATTATCTTACCAATCAGTGTATCAACTATATTTCGTATTATACACCTAATTTCTCTGTTGCATAAATGATGGTTTCCACGCGCGTAAGCATCGGTTCAAAAGTGTTTCTAATGAAACACAAGCCACTTATGTATGTCTTTAAATCTCAGGTCATTTTCTTAACAATCTTAAGAGTGATTCAATCGTGAACTTTCTCCTGCTCCCCCCCCCTCAAAAAATCATTTCTGTTTATATTTTATTAGATTTTAAGATTAATTCAAAATGCGAAGCTAAATGTTAGTCAGTACGAAGCAGAACAAATAATTCAACAATTAGAAAAATATGCTATCGACTTAGAAGATAAAGTTATGCGTATTTTAAATGAAACTGAATCAGATCGTCAACGTACAGGGAATTTATTAAGACGTGCTGAAACTATTAGGTATGTTGAAGAAGAATGTTGTATATATATAAACCCACCGATTTCTGATTAGCAATTTCATGAACATTGTTGTGCATATTTCGAAACTATGATCTATCGATTATTGCGATAATGAATAATTACTATTATGAGTGAATATTTAACTGTTTATTTATATCAAGTATTTATACGTTCAAAAGTTCTTAATGTTTTTGTCTTATTGTATATATTTACATGAAATACGCTTGTAGCTCCTCTGAGGTTACTGCCGGTACTAAGCCCGGATAAAGTAAGTCTGGTTATAGGGTTGGCGACCCCATCCCACATAAAAACTAACTCGCTAACAAAAACGCTAACCAGAAAACATAATTCAAACCATTTTAACTCTTCCCTGAGAGCTAGAAGATCTTCATTCAGAAGAATTATGACGTCTCATGATGAAAGCGGAGTTCCCTCGGGAGTCACGAAGCCGATACCCCTTCTCACAACCAGAGCAACCATTAATTAAGAAGAAAATGCCCCACACACACAAGGAGTCGCAGTGATGCTGTTTAAACAAGCCCTCGACGAGCTATGTTTTGTGGTGTAGGAGTAGGTTGGAAGAAATTTAGGGGCGGCCAGACTAAAACATGGCAAAAATCCATGAAGTCACTGACAAGTGGACTGAGTCATGTTGGTAGATGTAGACTACCTGGTTGGGGTCCGCGAGACGAAAGTCATCAATGGCTAGAGACCTTGAACGACATGGCTCAAAATCGTTTGCAATGGCGCAGGTGCATCCACTCTTTGAGCTCTCTCAAATCCTAATCTTCTGGATTAGCCAGCACCTCTACCTTTGTCTTTCTAACCTTATCTCACTGAATTATATTTTTTGAATAATATCTTCGAACCCTAGTCTTCTTTATTAACATTAATACCTCTACTATCTTTATCACTATGGGATTTGATTTGACGTTTGCGTCTCTGTGCTAATAATGTGGTATGGCAACATGAACTTATGTACATACGTACGAAGTTCTACGTTGCAACTGACTGACTGACTGACTGTTTAAACAAGCACAAAAGGCACTTATAGGATGGGAATCTCATGAACCAAGGATCATTAAAGCATCCTTCAAAACAAAGAATGAGAACATGACAATGAACGTCATCCAATGCTATGCACCTACCAATGACTACAATGGAGACGAGAGGCCACAGTCAATCATCGAGAGATGCTCATCAAAGGATTTGACCATTCTAATGCGAAACCCAAACGCCAAAGTTGGCATGGACAACACTGGATATGAAGACATCATGGGACATGAACTAGGAGGAAGAAACGAAAATGGAAAGAGATTCGCAAACCTACGTACCTTCAACAAACTGGTCATCGGCGGCACAATATTCTCACACAAACACATACACAATGCTAGATGGATTTCACCGGATCACACTACTTAGAACCAAATCGACCGTATCTGTATCAATAAAGAATTCAGAAGGACCGTGGAGAATGTGAGAAACAAGAGAGGAGCTGATATAGCCTCAGATCACCACTTGCTGGTCGCTAAAATGAAACTGAAACTGAAGAAGCACTGGACAACAGGGTGGACAACATCACAACAGTTTATTACGGCCTTTCTTCGAGATACTGAAATGCTCGACGAATTTAAGATAGCCCACAGCAATAGCTTCCAGGCTTTTCACAATCTACCCAGTGGAGACGGAACTACGATAGAGAACAACTGCTAAGCAGTCAAGGAGGCAATCATTTCAACATTTGATAACGTTTCGGGTCACAAGAAGCACCATCACAAGGAATGGATCTCTGTTGGTTTTCTTGATAAAATTCAAGAAAAGAGGAACAAGTAGGCAGCAACCAACATCAGCCGAACAAGAGCAGAGAAATCCAAGGCACATACTGAATGCATAGAAGGAAACGACTAATTAAGAGGAGTATAAGAGCCGACAAACGAAAATATGTGGAAGATCTAGAATAGGCTGCGAGAGAAGGAGGCTTAAGACAACTGTATAATTAATACAAAAAAGAAGCGGGAAACTATCGTAAACCAGAACGACCAGTGAAACACAACGAGGACAAAGTAATCAGCAACATTGAAGTACAGAGAAACAGGTGGGTAGAGCACTTTAAGTAACTCTCGAATCGACCAGCCCCACTGAACCCACACAACATTGAAGCAGCATCCGCGAACCTCCCAGTCGATGTCGGCCCACCAACAGACAGATAAAGAACAGTAAAGCATCAGGACCAGACAACATTCCAGCAGAGGTAATGAAAGCAGACGCGGCAGAAACCGCAAAAATACTCCACATTCTCTTCAGCAAGATTTGGGATGAAGAACAAGTATCAACAGGCTGGAAAGAAGCACACCTCATCATAATACCAAAGAAATGCGCTCTCAGCATGTGTGAGATCTACAGAGACATCACTCATCTCTCAATACCAGTCAGTCTTCAACGGGGTATTGTTAAGCAGAATGAAGAACTTCGTAGACGCCCAACTTCGAGATCAATGTGCTTAGAAGATATTCAACATCATACAGAATTCTTAGGATGGATTAAACTGCAGACTCGTTCGAGGTGAAGACCGGTGTCAGGCAAGTCTGCTTACTCCCGCCCTTTCTCTGTCGACTGGATTATTAAGACGTCGACATCTGGAGGAAAGCACGGTATCAACTGGACAGTTAGGACGCAGCTGGACGATCTAGACTTCGCAGATGATCTGGCTCTTCTATCGCACACGCAACAACAAATGCAAGAGAAGACGACCAGTGTAGCAGCAGCAGCCTCTGCAGCACCAGGTCTCAACATACATAATGCGAAAAGCAAGAACCTTCGATACAAAACAACATGCGGCAACCAAATCACTCTTGATGGAGATGCCTTGGAGGACGTTAAAACCTTTACATATCTGGGCAGCATCATCGACAATCAAGGTGGATCGGATGCAGATGTGAAGGCGCGGATCGGCAAAGCAAGGGCTGAATTTCTACAATTGAAAAATATCTGGAACTCCAAACAACTTTCAACCAAAACCAAAATCACGATTTTCAATACAAATGTGAAGACAGTTCTACTGTATGGAGAGGAAACTTGGAGAACTACCAAAGCCATCATCCAGAAGATACAAGTTGTCTACGGAAAATACTTCGGATCCATTGGCCAGAGCCCTTCAGCAACAACTTACTGTTGGAGAGAACAAAGCAGATGTTAGCGGAGGAGTGAATCAGGAAGAAGCAGTTGAAGTGGATAGGACACATTGCGAAAAGCACCCAACTGCATCACAAGTCAAGCCCTCACACGAAACCCTCAAGGTAAAGAAAAAGAGGAAGGCCAATGAACACATTACATCGAGAAATAAAGAAAGATGTGAGAGGAATGAACAAAAATTGGACAGACCTGGAAAGGGAAGCCCAGGACAGAGTTGGTTAGAGAAGGTTGATCGTCTGCCCGTGATTCATTTGGCGGTAACAATCATCAGAATCAAAACAAAAATTTTATATACACTATTACTTATTACATTGTGTGCTCTGTACTGGCGATGATAATGACGATATAGTTCCAATTGTTAATACTGTGTTTAATCCAGTGATAGAACTTTATTGTTAACTTTATTACAGTTTTGATTCATCTATTCAATGAATAATAATGATAATGCTCATAAAATGGTGAAATATCTTAATCTATCAATGCAGTATTACTGCCATAGCTAGTGACATGTTCACTGGAACTTTCGAATTCCAAATTAACTAATAACTTAGTAGAAGAAATGCTGATAAAACTTATGTTTTTTTGTATTTAGATTCAACATTCTAAATTTGCCTTCAAAATAAATAATTCTAATCTGGAAATGGAAAAACGAATTGTCTTACTACTAATGCTTTATATTTATTAAGTACCATCGATTGATTTATTAAAGATAAAATTGTACTTGTAAAAGTTATACTTCTGACATTTCGTGAATTAAATGCAAATTCACTTCTACAAAGTGAATAAATAAATATTTTATCTTGAACTATATTTTTACATACATTTAGAGATAAAGCAAAAGATTTTATGGACCAAATGAATCAATTGAAGGGAGCTGACAAAATCTATCAAGAAATAAAAGAGAAGAAACAAATCATTCAAAAAGTTGATGATGTTAAGTTATTTGATCAAATTACACAGGTTAGCAAATATCATAACTAAGTATATATTTTACATTTAACTGATCAATTAAATAATTGTCCAGTAGTAATACGTCTCACGTTAACTAGATTTTAATTATTGAAGGGAATATATATCTTTCCATAGTATCTTACTAATATATATTAATGAGTAAATAAATGAAACTAAATAAGATTACAATTATTAATGAAACTAATTTATCACTCAATAATAAACAAAATCTCGTGTTTTTAACTCTTTCATAGCGTCGATGTCTCTCAAATGAACAGTGAATGTAGATAAATTAGAGACTTTCGTACTATTGAACGTTACAATATCAAGTTGCTTAGGTTAGTGGTCAAAATTAATTAAGTTTACGTCACGACCTGACCTTAGCTAAATGATCATTGAAAACTAGGACGAGTGAGATTACACTTTATGTATGAATCAATAAGATTTGACGCAACACAACAACCTGTATTTCTTGTGTACAGTTCATCCAATCCGGCTACGAAGTATATTATTAGCAACAGTTTAGATCACTTCTTGATGAAAATCCTAACCATAACCAATCCTCTTTTGAACCCCGAAAATTGTTAAAATGTCTCTAGCTCAATTTCGGAGTCGCCAAAAACCATCTACAAATTATGATGCCACTTCAGGCAGTACTGAGTAGCTGTTCCGTCATAGTATCCGACCCCATAAGTGAACATGCACGTCACTAAGCAATCAACTAAGGTTGGTTTGTGATTTAGACAATGAGACTCAACAATCTCCATAAACTCCTCAAACTAAACTTAATTTACCAGGTTGGATTATTGTCGAGGACCCAAAAGAATAATGTGGTTGCTATGAAGAGACCAATGATTATAAGAACACCCAAATCTATATTAATCATGGATAATTAAAAAGATAAAACGGCGATCCATAGTTTTGCTTTTTGTTTGTTTGTAATGCTTTAAAAGTAAAGCTTGAATGCCAAAGTAATACACTTTGGATCAGTTTACACAATCAAATACTACGTTGTTGACTGGGTCTGACAAACTGTTCTATAGAACACTGATTTGGCAATAAATTGTCTGCAGCTTGGAATCTTGTTACAATTTGTACTTCATTTAAATTCGATTGTTAACTCACCTATGTAATAGCAAATTTTTACTAATCATTGGTTTACTTTTCTGATTATTTATACATTTTAACTTGTCTTCTCTCAATCTTGACTAGCTAACAGAACGAATAGATGGATTCAAAAATCAAGTTAGTATGTTTGCACGTGATTCAAGTCTACAGTCGGATAAAGCCAAAGATGCTTCTGAAGTAGTAGACGACCTACTGTCAAGTACCAATGTTGCTAGACGTGAAACTTTAGATGCATTACAACAAATTGAACTTGTTGAAGTAATTTATATTATTTTTTGCATAGAAAACAATCCATTTTATTTGTTTTTGTTTAGTGGTACATTAAGGGCGCCTATTAATTTAACTTCCAACTAAATGAAATGCAAAAGTATCAGGACACATGAATTTTTAGTAGTTTGCGGTGGAAGATTCCCTAAGATTAGGGACTTGCTTAGTCAGCCACAACATAAAAATTGGGATGTATGTATATCAGTTCAAGATGTCACACCATATTAGCACAAAGAAGTGAGATTACCAGTTCAAATTCCACAGTAGTAGCAGTAGTAGCAGTTATAGAAAAGACTTGCTTCTTCAAACTCTTACGGATGAAAATAAATAACAACTTAACTTGAGATGTAAATTGCATCTAAGTCTATTCATATATACTTGGTAGCTTCATTGGATCGAAACAATACTTCGTGCGTCATCTGGATAAGTTTTGTCAAATAGACAAATTCACTTCAGTAACGCTTCATTCATATATATTAACACACTGACTTTCATTATAATTTGATTTGTTACTTTTGCGCTTAGTCTGTTTTTTGTTACATCTCAAGATCACTTACAACTATATACACACAGTTGTTGCATCGTACAATTTTGACTTTTGGGAATAAAAAGCTTCATTCTATTGTCCTATTTGGATATTTTGGAGGATATTACATTTGAAGAGCTATCAGAAGTAACTAGTAGGTGAAGATAAAGAAGGGACACTTCATTTTAGGCTTAATGATTTTACAGTAGTACACTTCACTAAAAATAAGTAACGTAAGCTTTATTTCTTCAGCAATAACTTGGAGCGATTTTCAGACGTGGTTTTATTTAATTGACCGCTAAAATAATTTTTGAAGTAAAAAGTAACAGATGAACATTTAGAAATACAATGAAATTCAGCTAAAGAAATAAAGAAGAAATATTCGAAGAAAAAATCCACAATGGAAGTAATAAACTGGTATTTATTGGAGAGTATGTGTGTATATAAATTCTGGAAAAGAACTTTAATCAGTAAACAGAGTGATAAAAAGCCCGAAAAGCTAGTAATAAAAAAATACACAACTGAATTCGACAAAGAATTTCATTCGGAATACTGGATACCCTAAAACATAACTAAATTTCTACATTTTAAGTACAGAGCAGTTTTTTAGGATATACCCAGGTTTTACTAATTTTTAACTTCTCCCTTATACATTTTAATTTTAGGTTTCATTTAAGCAATTGGACGAGAAAATGTTCGAACTTGACAAACTGATGCGTGTTTTAGATGCAGATGACCGTGATAGTGAAGATGAAGCTTCACTAGGTACTAAATTAACTGATCCAGCTAAACTTATGGAAGAAATTCAAAATTATACTAGTAATTTGGAGCTTAATACAGAAGAAGTTAAAAGTATGTTAAAGAATAATTTATATCAAAAACAATACAATACCATTTGTTCCATCCACGCTAACTTTATCAAAATAAGAATCTGAAGGCCTTTTAATGTTTTGGATTGATAATATTGTAGGTCGGTAAACGTCTAACTTTTACTTTGTTTATCTTCGTGCTTTCCCTAAACTATAACGGACAAATAGTAAATAATCCGAAAAAAAAATTGTTCAAAATACGTTACTATTAAAATGTACGCAAGTCAAAACGATACACTGCCAAAACAGCGAGAACCTTCAATGGTTTTCAAGCTGCAACAATCTGTCAAGTGATTTACCGTTGATCAGTTCAGTCAGCTATAAAAAGTAATCTTTTGCTATTCTTACTTAATCTTTTGAAAATCAAGCATCACAGATTAATTAGACTTTTAATGATATATACGTCTAACATCAAAAGATTTCTGAGAGATGTTAATAAATCCTTTGAGATATAATGAGAAAACAATCTAAATTATCCTTAATGAATATCGTACTCTCTACTAGTCAACGACGTAAATTAAACAAGTTTCAGGCGTTTATTTTACATTATAAGTTGCTTGAAGCGATGAGCAAAAATACCCCTTTGAAATAATTGTATTCAACAGTCATTCACTTATGATTCCTATTAATCCACCAAAAGTGATTTTTACATTTGTAACTTAGTGTCTCTCACTCGCTAGTAGAGGTCAATCTTGACTATCAGGTTTAACTTTTGACTATAATATCGGTGATAGTAACACTACTAACCACTTTTGTTATTTTTGAAGTTTGCATTATTACCCCACTTGCAATTGCATTCTTTTTACAGGTATATTAACAAATTTAAAGAAATCAGAAACGGAAAGTGCAATTTTAACTGATGAATTAAAAAATTACATGGATAAAATGCAAAATTTAAATATTCATTTATCACGTACAACAAAACATCATCAATTATGCACTTAAACACTCATTTCATTTAATTTTAACGTGTTTTTTTACAAAAAATTGTTATTATTAACAATTACTTATCCGATTTATGACTTCTACTATCTAATATAATCCTAATATTATTATATATAATCCAACTGTTCATTTTTAATTAGAATTAACTATTAACATTTTCTTGATAGAATTGTTCATACTATACGCTTACTTATCAGTAACCATTATAAAATAATGTTGAATAATTTCTTCAGTTATTTCTTAAGATAGGAATATTAATTTTTTAAATTGTCAAAATACAATATATATATAAATATATATATATGTACACTAATTATTTATACGTTCACTGAATTAATTCTAAAGATAAATTATAATTATTAAAAGTCTTAAAATATTTGATTTGATAACACTTACAATAAATAGAAACCCTATAGTAGGTAAAATTTATGCCTAAATAATAAATAGAATATTATACTATTTTAGTACTAATATGGAGTTTCACATATTTTGACAAATATTTGCCTTCTAAAGTTTATATTTCTTCGGAATAACTATAATATACTCAACTCTGATGATAAACCTTGTTATAGCTGCAGATACTCAGTAAGATTCGGACAAGTAACGCTATGGTATCACACCGTTTAGTGAATTAACTAAACGTCGACCTGAAATAAAATATTATCTGTGTAATAAACTCCCAAAATTGCTGACGAGTCCCATAACGGGACGAAACGGCCGTCCAGTGCTTCCAAGTTTCTAATGTTGGTCCAACAATGATCGGTTCATGATCTCAATAGTTTATAATAATAATAATAATAATAATAACAGTAATTTAACTTTTAGGGTTAATTGAAATGTAAATCTCAGAATAAGTTCATGTACGTATACTATTCTATGAAACAGTGGTTTCATGGTTAAAACACTTGATCATAGATTTCTTCTGAACATTGCTCATGTATAATGGAATGACAGAGTGATTAATAGTGGGTTTGTATATAAGAAGCTACATGAATATGGCAAACTGGTTAATCAGGCTACGAACCTTCATTGACTGATCGGGTAATTCGACACACGATGATGCTGAGCACACTAGGTATGGAGAACAACAAGGGAATCTATGGAGCGATAGTAACACTTTAGTACGGCATTTTTGTTAGGTTCGTGACCAAGTATGCTTGAAACTATTACGGGTTCACCTTAGTTAAATAACGAGATCGAAACAATGAACCAGCGTCCAGGTAGGCTACTGTGATCCGATTGTCCCAATTGTACCAGCAAGAAGTCTGCATATAGCGTAGAAAGTGTATTCTACAAACACCAAGCCAGCACACAATGAATCGAAGCACACAAATCGCGTTTATTTATACTCCACAGAGACGTCTTCGGGAGGGTCATAAAAATAGCAAACTAAAATGACACAGAAGCCAATCAAACTCAAGGATTTTCCTGGTCGGAAATGAAATCTCAAGGTCAACTGCTCAGCTCATGCTCGCAAACATATAATCCAAAATAAGGCATTTATCAAGCGAGTTCTGGGGATCTAAAATACCCAAAACTCCTCCCCTTTTTACTAGCGTGCGCTCCTGGGGTTGACTTACATCTTGACTGTTGTTCGTTTCTGTCTGAGAGGATACCTTCTGGAACGGAGAACAGCTTTCTGCTGAGTGTTTTCTCGTGTTGGGGCTGCCGGTAGGTTGAAGGTATCAAGCAGGATGTCAAGGGGAATATTTGCTGCTCTTGATGAGCGATCTGGGGCTAGCCGTTTGCGTAGCTGATTCCGATGGCGTGACCACTTACCGACTCTTACCTCGCCCAACTCTTCTGATCACTCGCGCTTCTGCCCAAGGACTATAGTTCGTTCTGTAGACACGGGTAAAAAAAACAGGACATTCTGCTTCGTACGTTGATTGCCTTTCCGACTTTGTCTCTACTGGTGTTGGTGCATTGGTTGGATGCATCAGACTGTGGATCGTTTTCAGTCTTCCTCCCGTCAAGATATTTGCTGATGACCTTTGCTCCGGTAACAACTCATTTGGTGTTGTTCGACAGACAAACAAGGAATTTTGTAACACGTCGGCTGGTGTCCCCTCCCCTTTTGACATGACCAATGCTCTTTGAAACGTGTCGAAAAACCTTTCCGCTTGCCTATTCAATTGCGGGTGGTATGGTGGCGAACGTAAGTGTTTAATGGCTAGCCGTTGACAGAAAGTCTGGAATTGGGACCCATTGTCAGATACGATCACATCTGGTATGCCATTGCGAAAGGAAATTTCACTGAGGAGTTGTATTCTCTTGGTTGTCATGCGAGGCATTATGGGTTGATTTCTGGACATTTTGAGAAAGCGTCGAGCACAGCTAAATACATAGTCCCATTGATAGGACCAGCGAAGTCATCGTGTATCCTGGACCAAGGATGATCAGGTTTTGGCCATGAAACCGGCGGAACTTCGGTATTCATTTTTGTCACCTGCTGACACCGTATGCATTTTTCAGCTAACGCTGTGATATGTTGATCCACGAGAGGCCGGTTTGCATAACTCCTGGCCATGGATTTCATCCGTCTAACCCCCGGGTGACCAAGGTGAAACTGTCTCAGCAATTTTTATCGAAGACAACCTTGCACAATCACTTCTACTTCAAACATCGAGAAGTCGTTTACAATGCACAGGTAATCGCGCCGCTGATACAGTTACTTCAGGTCACGATCAACCTTCTAAGAATGCCAACCTTTAGTGACATATTTCACGATGAGTATTGATAGTAAGCAGCTCTTTTGATGCTTCATCTACTTTCACTTGTAAATAAGCATCCGCTAGATCGAGCTTTGCGAAAAACTTTCCCCCATTCAGCATAGTGAACAGATCTGCTGGGACTGGCAGAGGATAATGATGCCGTTCTAGAGTTACGATGAGACCTGTAGAGAAGTCAGCACATATTCGTATCGTGCCGTTTGCCTTTTTGATAACGACTATTGGTGCTGCCCTAGAGTAAGAAACGGGAGTAATAACTCCTTGTTGTTGAAGTCGATTACATTCTTCGTCTAATGTTGCATAAGGTACGGATCTCTTTGGACAGAAAGCAGGCTTAGCCCAATGTTTCAACCGAAGTGTTGCTTTCATGGCAGTACACCGACCTAATCCAGGTTGGCAGATGGTTGAAAACTGCGCCATTAGATTCCTCGTAGATGCTTCGGGTTCATGTGGTCGTGATATCAGGTGGCATATGGTATTTAATGGGACGTCAGCCAACTTTGGTTGCTCGAACCAATCTAAATCAAGTAAATTTAGATCAGCTGACGTCATATAACATACACCAGTAAATGACGAGTCTCGGAAGTTAACTTTACATTCCAATTGTCGCAACAGATGAAGGTAATTACCACATGCTGTACGAGGTTTTTGTGTTGTGTGCTGCAGGCTCGGGATGTGATATCAGACGTGGTATCTATTTGCGATCTGGTGATGAGTTTTGACAGTAAGATATTAGTCTCTCAGTACTGATGCGTTTCAACTTTATTCTGAATTTATTCTCAACTTTCCTCAAATATTATACCCACTATTTGATTTGGTTTCTAGGAAAGCCCTTCCATCGTATCAACAACATGAGAAAACCTTGAGCGTCATTCTGCTGTTCCCAACTAGTAAACTTCTTCTTAGCCGTTTACACAAGCCGAGAAGTCTATCCTGACTACCTATGCATCTCGATTAGCAATAGGTGCCGTTCTACAGCAGAGGTCGGAGACGATTAAATAATTGTAGACAAGCATACTTAAAAAATCAGAACAACACATTCGATGTTGTGTAGCAGTGAGAGGGACTTTACGAATATGGTTATAGTTGTTTGACCTAAAATTTAAAATTCCGACTAACCATCAATCCATGGAGTTCAGTTACCATACCTCTAAATCACTCCATTTGTTGTCGATTGTGATGGTTCTAAGACTGAATTCGCAAATAAACGCTCACGATTTTACTATTTCTTAGAGCATCGCTAAAAGTATACCACACCTGTCACTCCTCTCTCGAAAATCTACCTTTCTGAAGTTGATTATTGGTCGGTTAATCAGTTGCCTATGGATAGAACAAACATTAAAAAATACATAGCTATAATTAGGTGAGTAATTTGAAACTGTCCAAATTACAAAACCTAATAAAACTAGTAAATATTGAGTAGATGGACAGTTGAACTAACAGTGTCAATCGAATAATTGGATTAATCTCACCAAGCACTTACTGTGTGATGAATTACAAACCAGGAAAATGGATCATAATAACACACATTTCGATTTAAGAAGAATAGTTCACAACACAATCCAACATGCTTAGTTTATTCTATCCTATTCTATTCCGTTCAGTTTTTCAAACCTCTAATTTAGTAAGTGAATAAAAGGAACTCTTAACCTCTCTCTAGTAGATAAAGAAGAAAACAGTTTTGTTTCAATTGCGTGCCACTGTGTTAAGGAAGATCAAACATAAAAGATAATGAACAGTTTCATTTTTCTCTCTCCTTTTCTTTGTCATAATGAGACAGTGTTCTCTACCTTTACATACATCGATTTACAAGGGTCAATCTACTGATCACCCGCCCACGTAAATAATGGTGTTTTGCGCTGGTTATCAAAATGATTGTTTACAGAAAATGTTAGTCTAATTACTTTTATTCTAAATACTACTGGTGTTAACAGATTTCTTCCTCTCTGAGTGTCACAATAGTAATTTTTGATGTCTATCAGTTCTACAGCAGAGGTCGGAGACGTTTTAATAATTGTAGACAACCATGCTTAACAAATCAAAACAAAAGATTCGATGTTGTGTAGTAGTGAGAGGGACGTTACAAATGGTTATAGTTGTTTGACCTACAAATATAAATTTCCGACTTACTATCAATCCATGGAGTTCAGTCCCCATACCACTAGTAAATATTAATTACATGGACAGTTAAACTTTAAGTGGTGACCGAGTAGAGATTGGCTTTAATCATCACTAGTTATTCATTAAAATCCAGTCAAAAATTATTGA